GTGTCGCGCGCGCCCTCGCTTTCCTATCCTCTTCCCCAGCTCCGACACCAGCACATCGCCCACCATGCTCTCAGCACTCTCAGGGACAAATGTCCGCCAAACAATCGCTCAGGTCATGAACTTTGGCCTTGTGCTAGGAACTGTGCGAGCTCTTGGTCCCGATTCCCATTAAGCGCGCTAATGTCTTGCCTAGGCCTTCATGATCTGGAAGTCACTGTCCGTCCTGTCCGCTAGTAGCTCTCCCATCGTGGTCGTTTTGAGTGGCTCTATGGAACCGGCTTTCCAGAGGGGCGATCTTCTGTTCTTATGGAACCGCGCTCCTCGAGCAGAGATCGGAGAAATTGTTGTTTACAATGTGGTGAGTTTCATTTGCCTTGATTCTGGTCTGTTCGGAGCTAATGCCTGTCTATTATTTTGTTTGCAGAGAGGAAAAGACATTCCCATTGTGCACCGCGTATCACGAACATTCCCGGAAGTTGAAGGAAAGAACAACAAGGTCAAGGAGATCACAGTGTATGTCTACCACTCAAATAGCGAAGTTGCTGGGTGAAATGCTACAGGTTGGATACTGACTATAAGAAATAGCGATGCGACACCAAGCACCCACATGCTCTTGACCAAGGTGAGAGAGCACCCGGTCCCCACGTTCTTTTTGCCGTTCTGGAAGCTAACCCTCTCTTTCTACCCTAGGGCGATAACAACCTCGCAGATGATACCGAACTATAGTAAGCTTACTAGGTTGATAAGATAATACGGCCAGCATTTTCTAACTCATTTCCTCTCATAGTGCACGCGGCCAGGACCATCTTTCCCGCTCAGAGGATATTGTTGGAAGTGTGCGAGGTTATATTCCGATGGTTGGATACGTGACGATCATGCTCTCTGAACACCCTTGGCTGAAAACAGTTCTTCTTGGCTTGATGGGCTTGATGGTCATGCTTCAACGAGAATAATTGGCGAATGTTTAATACCTCAAATATCTCAAATTCTTCTCAAATGCCTCAAATGCCCAAAATTTCAAGTGTCTGATATAGGATGCACACTCGAACAGCAATGGACATGGATCATATCATAACTAAGCTGAAGCTTTGTGGATCGCTTTTCTGTATAATTAAAAATCTAATGGTTCTTTGTAGCAGCATAAGATTGGCCAAGGGGTTTGGTTAACAAACGGGGCGAACGGGGACGCCGCCTGACGTCTGTGGTTCCCCACTTCGCTCGGGGAGGTTCCAGCTTTGAGCTACCAGGTTTCACCCGCACTAACTCACGACTTTCTCCTTTCAAACCCCTAGGCATATATCAGCGTCGTGAGGCTTGTTTTCTTCTGCTACGATATCTTCATTTTGTTGTCGCGTGCTTATTCCCTTTGTCCCACGGGTCCCCTCCTATACACCCCGCACCACTGCGCCCCCCCACTACCCTACGGCTTGATCAACCTCCAGATAACATGGGCAGCCAGAAGCGCATAGCCAAGGTATGCCATCCGATCCCTTCGTCTGAGACGTTGAATAGTCTACTGATATCCTGTTCACTGCCAGGAGTTGACTGAGCTCGTCGAGTCGCCTCCAGCAGGCATCACGGTCAAATTGGCGGACGAAGCCAACCTGTACGAGTGGAAGGTGTTGATGGATGGGCCAGAAGGCTCGCCGTACCATGTATGTCTATCCAAGCAACAGAATCTGTGTCTCAAAGTGCCATTCGATCGCATCACGAGTGGTCTTGCGCACGCTGTCGAAGCTCGCCCTTGTGATTCCTCACTAACATCGCCGTCCCCTTTAGAAAGGAAAATTCCAAATCAAACTCGTCCTGCCTAACGAATACCCATTTAAACCGCCTACCGTCTCTTTTGCAACCAAGATTTACCACCCCAATGTGACAAATGATGATAAAGGGAGCATGTGCCTGGGAATGTTGCGACCCGACGAATGGAAGCCCAGTTCTAAGATTGGAGCTGTTCTCGAATTCGCCCGTCAGCTACTATCAGAGCCAATGCCCGACGACGCTATTGAGGGTAGGATCGCCGAGCAATACAAGAATGACCGCAAGCACTTTGATGAAGTTGCCCGGGACTGGACTCGGAAACACGCTTCTTAGGGGCTTCGCACTGCGGATGTGGAGATAATGCTTCGTTGATACTTTATGAAATCGAGAAATGGCAATTACCGCCGTGGGCCAGAAAAGAGAAGCAGAAAGACCAGCCTTAGGGCTGGCTCCTGGCATATGAATATACATGAACGAGAACACGCAAAATCTAAACTAGCTATCAATCCGACTGTGCAGACTACTTCTTCTGTGCGGGGATGTTCCGCCCGGGGAACGGAATCTCTCTCTGGCGGATCAACTCTATAGAGACATGGGCGGATAACTGAGGAAAATCTTCAATTTTCGTGATGTCTATTCTTCCTAGTAGTAGGATACGCTGATGACCATCGGCTGGTAAATGTGAAATACCTTGTAGCTGCCTGTGCAAAAGCTGCAGTGTACTAGGTATCCCATTTTCCTATTACACAGGTCTCGTTCTTTTAAGCAGGCTGTATGACCTGAGGTAATTCCGAAGATACCGTTCGCGGAATCTTACCTCGATGGTTTCACACCTGGGCAGCTTCCCCGCAAATGACCCCACGGGGTCTAACCCCCCCGGCATTTCAACGTAGCCGATTGACCCATGTGAGGACGTCGGAATATAAGTTGAAAGGACCCGGGCGAAAAAAAAATTCTAAGCCTAAAGTACTAGTATATGAACTTCAGCAGCCATGGCCGCTGTATCAGATTCAATCGTCTTCATAGGACAAAATATAACGACCATCCTTCTACTTGTTTTTGTCCTTCACTTTACACGCAATTATCTAACATCGGGGGTATCTGCTATACCGGGGCCATTCCTAGCCAAGATCTCGAATATTTGGAGATTCGTGGATGTTGCAAAAGGTCATGCTGAGGTGACATTGTTGAAGCTTCATCGCAAATACGGTGACTATGTGCGCCTTGGTCCGAATGTGGTAAGCGTTCGGGACTTGGACGCAGTAAAAATTATTTATGGAATAAACCAAGGATACAACAAGGTAGGTGGTATTGCTCGCTTCATCTGTCTCACTTTTTAATTTTCTCTACCAGACCGACTTCTACAAAGTCCAGCAGCAATTGGCCAAGGGTAAGCCCACGCCAACTCTTTTCACCACCACAGATGAAGAGTTCCATGCCGCGATAAAACGACCTATATCTTCTGCTTACTCAATGAGTACCCTGACGGAGTTTGAGCCTTTTGTTGATAAAACTATTCATACGTTTTTCAAGAGGTTGGATGAATTTGTGGATGATCATAAGGTTTGTGATATTGCTACCTGGTTGCAATACTGTATGCTTGACCGTGCTCAACTTCAATCAGTCCACTCCTAACAAGCTGATATAGATGCCTTTGATGTCATTGGAGAATTGACCTTTAGCAAATCACTGGGGTTCTTGGAGAAAGGATCCGACGTGGATGGAATTATTGCAGCTCTTGAAGCAATGCTCAGCTATTCTGGCAAAGTTAGAATCAAATTCACCATGCCCCTGAACTTGAAATATACTGAATCAAGCCAAAGATTGGACAGATCCCCTGGCTAGATTATCTCTTCATCAAAAATCCCCTCAGGGGGATTATTCAAGGAGGCTCCACCGGTGCGGTGGCTCGCTTTGCCCGTGCCCGGCTAGACGAGAGACTTCAAGAATCGAAGTTGGGAGCAGTCGAAAAAGAGAACTCAGGATCCCCACAAAGAGATTTTCTTGCTCGATTTTTAGAAGCAAAAAATCTGCATCCGAATATTGTGAACGATAACCAAGTCTTCTCCTACACAATCAGCAATATGAATGCCGGATCAGACACCACCGCTATATCGCTGCGAGCCGTTCTTTACTACACGCTCAAAAACCCACAAGCCGCGTCAAAGCTACAAAATGAACTAGACACTGCCTTGAAAGAGGAGCGAATCACTTTGCCAGTCTCATGGAAGCAGAGTCAAGAACAACTGCCTTATCTCGACGCAGTTATCAAAGAAGCACTTCGTCTACATCCTGCTGTGGGGCTACTCTTGGAACGAAAGGTACCTCAGGGTGGTCTCCAACTCCCAAATGGCGGACCATATCTGCCCGCAGGGACAATAGTCGGTGCGAATCCCTGGATAATTCATCGACATGCTCTTTTCGGTGAACATGTCGATTCATTTCGTCCTGAGAGATGGTTACCAGCGAACGGTGAATCCGGTCCCGCGTTCCAGTCTCGGAAGCAGAAAATGCTCCGTGCGACACTCACATTTGGGGCTGGGTCGAGGACTTGTATCGGGAAAAACATCAGCCTGTTGGAAATCTACAAGTTGATTCCTTCGCTATTTCTCGCCTATGATGTAGGAGAATGACAGCCCGCCATAAGGCCCGAGACAGCATGCTAACAGCTTCACAGATACGATTAAAGAACCCAAAGAAGGAGTGGGAGACTACCAACGCATGGTTTGTACGACAAACGGGAATTGATGTTTTGTTAGCTCGTCGCGGTTTACAAGAGGAGCTTCATTGACGGCGCGGAGTAGGATGAAGTCAATATTGAGGTCAGAATCTGAATTGAATACCAAATTTACATTGGTGTATCCTTAGTTAAAAGATAGCCTTTTCTTCATATTAAGGCTCTCGTATCATGCACTTGCCTGTTTGGCGATAGAAATCGGCAAAAGCCCGTGTTCCTTTCCTGGAAAATTCGGCATATTCCCCCCATGAGCGAGACACCCTCTCTAGAGAATTTGTGGCTGCTCCCATTTTGGGCTCCACATGAATTGACCACAGGTGAACAACGAACAGCAAGAATGTGAATAACAAGCTTAAGATAACCCAAAGCCGGAAAACGTTCGGCGTGGGGATGTAAGAATCTGGGTTTGGTGTACCATCCACTAGCAGAGCAGGCTTGAAGCCAGGGGACATGGGCCAATAGAGGAGGTAAACCAGCACAGAACGCATCAGGGGTCCGTGTATTAGGTAGAGGGGAAGCTGATAGATCCCAGCCAAAGCAAGACTCGGTTTGAGAGTATTCGTCGAAGCGTGGGTGAAAGCATTGCTCCCAAACAGACCATCTGTGCGCCGATACTAGCGAAGTAACGGCTCATGTTGGAGCCCTTTAGAAATACGGCATCACCAATGTGGGCGAGCTGAGAAGACCAGGCAGCTTGCTCGGCATATTCATCTGGGAATGAGCAGAGGTAAAGACCGAGAATGACAAGACCGTAAGGTATGGTCTGAAATAATGCTCGGGGTTTTAGAGATGCCGAAATTTGACAGTTACTAGTACTGAGGGAGAGTTCGGCTAGCATCATGCCAGCGAATATGTTCATCCCCACACCACCTGCATGTCGTTAGATTTAGAAGGCTTGGTACCGTGTGATATATATTAACTCACCGTCTACTCCGTAGTGTCGCCCATCTCCAGACATAGAGCAATATTTCGGCACATAGTCGGAACCGAGGCGTGGTATTGACTAATGCAAGCAGAGTCATGAAAACATACAATGACCCGCGAAATAGCGGAAGCAATGCCCACTGAGGCTGATCATAGGAATTTTCACCGTACAGCCATGTTCCGGCAAACTCCCGGACCAGGCCCTCAACGGCAGCCACCAGCGAAACACTCGGTTTCGGCGCCGTCGATCTCAACCAAAAGGCATCCACTCTGCGAGCTAGCTGGAAAGCGCCGAATTGGCTCACCAGCCAAGTAAGGAAAGTCACCAGCGCAGCGGGAAATACCAATCTTCCGGTACGGCGGAACGCGCCGGTTGACAAAGACCCGAGAGCCTCGGAGACGGCACCCGAGCGGGCCAGTTGGAGTGGTTTGAGGGAGTTGACAAAACCTAGCAGGACGAAGAACATGGCAACCCAGGCCTGACCTTGGATGACCAAACGGAAGAAGGGTCGCTGAAACAGGGTGGACTTGCCCGTCTCCGCAACGGAGGGTGGGACTAGGAAGGTCGCAAAGCATAGCGAAGTATGACTCGCGACAACGAAGATGGCGGGCGATTCCACGGAGGCCCTAGAACAAAAGGAAGACGGTTAGTGTTCGGTTCGTCATCTCCGGGATCTCCACTGTAGGAGGTCAGGGTCCACGGGTGAACGAGTGGACGGGTCCACGGGGTTGGTTCCCTGGCATAGTAGAACTCAATGACGACACAAGAGCAAGCATCAACAAACAAAGTCGATACGTACATCGGCCCAGCTGGTGGAGCGTAGCTGGGTGGGAGGCAATTTGGCTGACAGGTCTCGAATACTACGAGTAGTAGTAGCCATGGCGGGCGCAAATAAGATCGCGGTCGGACCTAGATTGGACTGGTCGCGCACGCGAGTGTTTCATAAAGAGAGGAAATGGGAATCAGACCCCATGAAAAGGAGACTAGGAGGGTTTGTTGAACCATTGAGAGAAGGATGTTACGTTGGATATTGAGAAACTTGGAAGGAGAGAAGACGAGGACGGAGAGTGCCCGGGGAAGGAGCACCACGGCTACTACCAGTACTACTCTATGGTAGGCTACCCCAACACACTCAGCCGAAGTAGTATAGAGTAGGGTATAGAGTATACAGATGTGATAGATAAATAGCTATGCATCTGGCACGGTAGAGGCCGTTATACATAATATACATAACGGTACTCGTAAGCGTTGGATAGCTGTTGGATAGCTGCTGAATCACCATTGGATAGAAAAAAGGAAAAGAAAAGAAAAGAGGCCTTGATCGACGCTGCATCCGCATCTGCATCCGCTCCCGTCCGCAATAGTCAAAATAGTAGTCCATATAGTCCATATAGTCCATATAGTCAACGCACTTCAACCTCAACGTTGCCGGGGGACTGTGGTAACCATGAATACTATCAATCTATTTACTCCATACATATTCCGTACAGGAGATGTACATGACAGAGTCTGTAACTAAATGCAATATGCAGTAAAATGCACGACTCATCACATTCTGAAACGCCCTTTCTTTCTACGTCATGTGACGCTAACCCAATGAGAGGCTTTGTTGATCTGTGTCTCATTTCTCATTTCTCGCCTCTCGTTGGCTTCCTCTGCATCTGCATCGAACTTTTGCTTTTTGCCTCCAGGCGTTCCCCTACTTTTCTCTTATTATCGCCGGCAGGTTCTGGCGGGCCTTGTCCTTCGTTTTTTGGGTTCTCGAGGTTTTGCGCAATCTTCTCTACAATCTCCTACGGAGTCATCCGCTCACACGCTCAACCCTTTTCTTTTTTTCTTCTCCCTCGGGCCTTCTCCGACCCTCGTGTGTACGGCGTACACGCACTGTGACCTTCTTTGTGCCCCATTGATTCTCCATTTGGTTACGATCCCAACATTCGACCCTCCGACTATTCGACTATTCGCGTCCGATTCTTTTATTCTCCCCATCAACCGTCCATTCATTTGCACACCTCTCAGAGCCGCCGCCGGCCTCTCCGTACTCTCTCCCTTTCGCCAGAAACCAATGTCCAGCGGGTCCTGGGTACTAGATCGTGGCCATGGTCACAGACATTGTAACCCCTCGATATCCGCCGCCGCCGGTTGAATCTGACCTTCGTGGTCGCCGAAAGGTCCTTCCATCACCGCGTTTGGATTCTTTAAAGATTGATCCACACGCGCGAACCAGACAACCCTCGCCAAGATCGTCGCCGCGCTCTCCGCACTCTCCGCATCACCAGCCGCGCGCGCGTTCCCCTTTACCAGCACAACCACCGAGCGCAACAGAAGAACGCCCATGGTTGCCCATGTCGCTTCGGGCCGGTTCTCCGCAGCAAGAAACAAACGAAGACTGGAGAGTTCGGCGCCCCGTTGCGCAGGCAGCTCCCCCTTTCACACCACCCCCGAACCCCCGAAATGGAATCCTCACGATAGCGATGTCGACCGGCCCAACCACCGAAAGGCCCCGCCGCCGAGGGGTGGTCTACGTATTTCAATGTCAACTTCCCGATTGCATAACAGACGGCCCAGGACGCAGGAATCGCCGGACCGCCGACAAGACGTCCATGTCCATGTCAATGCCCATGGCCTGCCGCTGCCCCGTTTCCCTTCGAATGGCCCGGCCGATGATGATGCTCCACGGTCTAGTGTCAACTCCAATTTCACTTCACGGTCCAGCATTGAACAAACGAGTGGTACTGAGCGTAGCAGTGTACTCACGAAGAGCAGCTCCATCACGGATCTATCGCCCGACACACCCTGCGCTCCCTATGGAATGGACGAAGGCATGAGTGTGGAAGATGCGATCTCCATGTATCTTGACGGCTTCAGTGATGTGACAGAGGAGCCCGCCTCGCCTAAGTCTCGGGCAGATAGCAAGGCGCCGTCGATCACCCCTCCACCATCGCGGGATACGACTTTTGAAGAGCCCCCTCCTCCAATTCGGACATCGCTGGACGATATTCCGCCTATCCCTCCCCTACCACCAACGGAGTTCTCGGAACCTGCCCCTTTGGAACATATACCATCCGACTTCTATCTTCTCGGACGCAGTGCCCTGGATCCCGTGGTTGTAGAATCTCCACCAGAAACGCCGTGGCCTATGCCCAATCCATTGGAACAGGTACAATTTGAGGAAGCTCATCCAGAGGTTGTGGTTTCCGAAGCAGCGCCTACGTCACCATCACTCCCGCCTCAGCCGCCATCACCACCACCACCTCCACCACCTCAATTCCAATCATCACCTACTCCTCAGTCGCCTCGTCAGCGACAGCCGTCCAAAATTACAATACCCGGTCCCGTCCCTCCTCCGCTCAGTTCTGGAACTGACACGCGGGATGACTATGGCTTTCGCAAAGCGACACAATACGTCACCTTGGAACAATACGAAGCCTGGAAAGGTCCCTACTCCAACTATGCGGCCCAACGGCGCGCCAAATGGCACGACGTCATGAAAGAGAATGGGTTGCCAACTGCCGATGTCACTACTTTCCCGGCAAAGTCCAACAAAATGAAGCGTTTTGTACGAAAGGGCATCCCTTCGGAGTTTCGAGGTGCGGCTTGGTTCTGGTATGCTGGCGGGTACGAGCTCTTGAACCGCAATCTTGGTTTATATGACCAACTTGTCGAGAAGGTCATGGCTTCACCTAGCAACGATGATAAAGAGCACATTGAGCGGGATCTTCATCGTACCTTTCCGGATAACCTCCACTTCAAACCAGACATGACTGATGCTGCCGGAAACTCTGGAAGTAGTAATCCCCAGTATCAGAATGACACCATGGAGACGTCGATGATTCAATCCCTACGCCGGGTACTGTATGCTTTTTCGCTTCACAACCCCAAGGTTGGCTACACACAATCGTTGAATTTCATCACGGGCATGTTTCTCCTTTTCCTCCCGGAGGAGAAGGCGTTCTGGATGCTGCATATCGTGACCTCGGTTTACCTCCCAGGAACGCATGAGATCAGTCTCGAGGGCGCGAATATCGACCTTTGGATTTTGATGGTTCTCTTACGGGATTCCATGCCGGGCATCTATTCCAAGATTGCCAGTATGGAAGGAGCGCCGCCCACGAGGGGCAAACTGCCACCACTTACTGTGAATTCCCGCCTGCCGGACATCACTTTGGGGCTCACAAACTGGCTTATGTCAGTTTTCATTGGGACTTTACCTTTGGAGACCACACTACGAGTCTGGGACATCTTTTTCTATGAGGGTTCGAAAACATTTTTCCGCGTCTCACTCGCCATCTTCAAGGCATGCGAGCGCGATATTCTCGCTGTTTCCGACCCCATGGAGGTCTTCCAGGTGGTGCAAACCGTCCCGAAGAAGCTTTTGGATGCCAACACCCTACTCGAAGAGTGTTTCGTTCGAAAGAACCGTGTCGGCCAAGGCCGGATTGAAGAGCTGCGCGCTTCACGCCGGGTCGCTGTTCGACAAGAGAAGCTTCGCCGGTCGGTCGCTTTCAGCAAGGGCCAGATCCCATCCGCGACCGACGATTTCACAGTCCGTTCTCAGGAACCAGACACCCCGAGTCGAGGAACGGGTAGTGCACTCCTGGCGTCAACTCAAGCAGCATGCATTCCGCTAGCCCCGTTGGCCTGCCATTAATTTCTGTAATCATAATCGGCCTTTGTCGGGTTTCGACAGAGCAACCCGCGAGAACGGGAGGCATCCTTGCATTTTTATCTTTTTTTATTATTTGGTCGGCGTCTAATTCAGGAAATGGGTGGGGGAGGGAATGATTGGGAAAAGGGGGGAACTCGCATCATAGACGCATATTCATTTTTGCACATGTACTGTACATACATATTCATGCCACGCCAAGCAGGCAGCGCTACTTGGACTCTCGGCACCCATAATTGAACCCAATTTTGTGGAAAGAATTTCCCTGAGTGAAGCATCTCCCTACAGGGCTGACTGGGACTAGCTAAGGAACCACAAGGAACTAAAAGAACTAAAAGAACTAGAGGAACCGTGGGGGCTTGGCAGGGTCCAGGATTGGTCGATCGTTCCTTTCTCTCGATCGACCAGCTCGGTGATCGCTCCTTCCTCTCTTTCCTGGTTCGTGTCGTCATGCACCTGCCAGTGCGGAATTCAAAAGGAAACCACCTCCAGCTCTCAGCTCTCAGCTCTCAGCTCCTTGCTTTTCTAATTCCCCGACTTTTCCTTTACTACTAGTATTCTTCTGATCATCCGCCCTTACACGGAGCATGCAGTCATGAGTGGTCAGGCAGCTAGTTATTACGACCAAAATCAGGGCTTTGACCCGCGGGCTCAGCCGAACTATCAACAAAATGGCTATCAGCAGCAGCAGCAGCCAAACTATCCACAACCCAACTACCAACAACCCAACTATCAGCAGCCTCCAGAGTCGAAACCTCCACCGGCTCAATATCCCGAAAATCCCCCTCCCCCATACACCACCTTCGACCAGGCATTCAAGATTGAGAAGCCAAAGTACAATGATCTTTGGGCAGGACTGCTGGTTGGTTCTCCACTCCCGAGGTAACCCCAAAATCAATGACCCCCAGCTAACCAAATAATTTCCCCACTCCAGTTGATCGCTGTCTTCCTCGGATATGCTGCTGTATCGGGAATCACCATTCACAAGTATGCCACAAACAAAGGGTTCAGCGGAGATGGCATCTATGGTGCGGCCAATGACTTCTCTCTCAACACCAATACGCTGGTTCTCTTCATCTTTGTCCTCGTGGTCGCCCTCGTTCTTTCATTGGCATACTTCATGGGCGCGCGGTATTTCACCAAGACCTTCATCTGGGTAACCGGCATCCTGAACATCGTCTTTGCACTAGCAACTGGCATCTACTACATCGCTCGCAAGCAGTATGGCGGTGGAATAGTATTCCTCCTTTTCGGTGTCTTTGCCATCATATGCTTCATCAGCTGGATCCCGCGAATCCCATTCACGGCCTTCATGTTGCAGACCACCATGGACGTTGCGCGAAACTACGGCCATGTCTTCCTCGTGAGTGCTCTAGGCGGACTTGTAACCGTCGCTTTCTCGGCCTGGTTCTCGGTGACTCTCGTCGCAATTTACGTCGCCTATGAACCAGATTCAAAGGGCGTGAATCCATCCTGCGCAAACGGCGGCTGCAGTAACGCCAAAGTCATTGGGTTGGTTGTGTACGTCACTTTCGCTATGTACTGGTTCAGTGAGTGGATCAAGAACACCGTGCACACCACCATCGCCGGTCTTTATGGCTCGTGGTATTTCTGGAGCAAGTCGGCCAATGGTATGCCCAAGGGTTCGACCCGTGGTGCGTTCCGACGGGCAACCACATACTCTTTCGGAAGCATCAGTTTGGGAAGTTTGATCATTGCTTTTATCCAGATGCTGCGCCAAGCATGCTCCGTTGCACAGCGCCAAGAAGCCGGCCAGGGAAACATAGTTGGCAGTATATTATTTTGGATCTTGGGCTGCTTTATCTCGCTTTTGGACTGGCTTGTCACATTGTTCAATCGCTACGCATTCTGTCACATCGCACTGTACGGAAAAGCCTATGTTCCTGCCGCAAAGGATACTTGGAAAATGATGCGCGATCGTGGTGTCGATGCTTTGGTCCAGGATTGTCTGATCGGGCCGGTGTTGACTATGGGGTCAACATTTGTGGCCTATGTGTGTGCCTTGCTGGCGTATCTGTATCTGCAGTTCACCAAGCCTGCATACAACAGTGACGGGGACTTCACTGCGGTGATCATGGCTTTTGCTTTCTTGATTGGACTGCAGGTCTGCCAAGTCTTCATGACGCCCATTGGAAGTGGTGTTGAGACCATCTTTGTTGCTATGGGCTGGGATCCCCAGGTCATGATTAACGATCATCCGGAGATATACTACAAGCTGGTGCAGTTGTATCCCAAGGTGCAGCAGGCAATACATGCTTAAGATACTGCAGATCGTTGGGACGTGAGATGCTGCGAACTTACCCTGGTAATCGTCTCCGCTCCCTTGATGTAGCTAGGAAGTTTCAAGTTATCGGGGCTGTTGACGAGTCTAAGACGAGTATATGATAAATAATTTTTATTTTTACAAAGGAACATCATGATGACAGTTCATGGAATAACATACGACGTTTCATTGATCATTACAATTTCGATGTTTTAAATAATCTGTTCGAATACAAAAGACGCCGGTATAGACCCGAGACAAAAGAAAGTAGTAAGCCCTATTACGTGGGAAAACAGAAGACAAAAAGACAAGAAACATAAACCACCCCCAACTCCACGCAACGAATCAGCCTCTTACAGAGCAATCATCAGGCCCATGATAGCCGCAACACCAAGGGCAGCAATACCACTGTGGGCAGCGCTAACCTGAGGCGCAGCACCCTGGAAGGGAGAGAAGCGGTTGGGATCCGCACCACTGGGGGAAGGAGTAGCAGCAGAAGCCGAAGAGCCGAAGAGAACAGAAGAGGAGGCGGGGATGAGAACACCGTTAGAGTAGACAGGCGAAGAGGCAGCGAGCATGCCGATCATGCTAGAGCTGACGGGGACATCGACGGGGATCTGCGAGATGTGCGCTGGGGCGGGCGTGGTCTTGCAGCTACACGCGGTGTGGGTCTCGGTCTTGGTCACATAGACTACGCGGGGCTCCGGCATCTGGGGCTCGGTCTCGCTGGAGGGGGAGTATGCGCGCTTCATGTTGGCGGGTTCCATGGGATTGGAGGCGTGACGGGCTGGTGCTGAGACGCGGTTGCTGGGGCAGAGGGAGGATGTGAGCGAATCCAGGTCTATGTGTTTGGGTTAGCTAGTTTTGACTAGTTTTGAAGATAAAGGTAGTAAAGATGGTTGATTGGAGAACGTACCAATGCCGGCTTCCTTGCAGATGGCTTCAGCGGACTCGGTCAGGCTTTCAATGGCATCCTTGTTGTTGCAGAAGCACTCCTCGGAGCTCAGATCGGTGCAGTCTTTGAACTTGGAGGTATCGATGCCGTCCAGTGCGGCAGTCTGGCGGAGTTAGGGCTGGATTCGAATCTGCTAGTAGTATGTACCAGTACTATAACTTACAGCACAATCAAGGTAGTCGCCGCTCATCTTGGCAGTGACGCCAGCGACGAAGACAGCGGTAGCAATGAAGGAACGCATCTTGAAATTGAGGCTTTTCTTTTCTTTTTTTTGATCGAAATGGGAGAGTGATACTAGGTAAACGAAAGTCCAGTATCTTTAACAAAGATAGTGTATATTAGAGAAAGGTATGAGGAAAAGGTGGCGCCGGGCCTCCAGGAATCGCAATCGACTTTAAGTACACAATTGCCAAGTCAACAAACAAGGTCAAGCAATGATCTGTAGCCCTGTATCCCTTGGCTCCCTAGACCAGTTCAACCATTTGAACACTGATTCGGGCATTTATGACGTTTAGGCATTCTGGAAAGTGACTCGAATGGGAAGGAAGACGACGCTCACACTGTATCGATAAGATTCGACTGGCATCTGACCCTGCCTCAAGGTACAGTGCTATGCATTTTGCAGTCTACACGTACACAGCTTCCCTGCCGATCGCTGCGGAATGACACAAGAATGTGCCAGTTGCCATGTCCCTTCGTCGTGCCTGGCAGTATCCCTAGTAACCCTTCCTACCGAGGAATCTGGTTCACGAAAACCTCACCCAAGTACCTCTGCAAAATAGGACTTGACAACTGACACAAAGCGAAAGACATGCCTGCAGGATATCAATTCTTTAATACCTGGAATAATTGATCTCGAGAATTGAGGGTTTGTGCATAGTGTATGTACTAAATAGCACGGGTCACCTATACGCCGGGCGTTCCCATAAGTGACATATAGTTAACTCAGTTCCCAGCTTCAGTACTATCTCGTGTCGTTACGCCGGCATATGCAGAATACCTAGTTTGGTATTCAACTGGTCCTGGATGTGCTCAGAAATTGCTTCCCATTCGGCTTTCTATTCGTCGTAGGCGGAATATTTCTCACTGATACATGTACATTCAGAGATTGACCAGCTTATGACCGACACCCGGCAACCCGGCAAGTAGCATGCTATGTGGCAAATACAGTCGTCTATGAATAGAATAGTACTACTCAGGAATGATCGACCGGCGCAACGGAAGGATTGGTAACCTCTTATCTCTTGGCTAAGGTTCAGCAGACGGCATGCATTAGCATTGGATCTTGAGGGCTACGCTACTAGTACAAGCAAGAATACATCATCCCAAGGTTCGGCCGTTGCACAACTTACTTTAGAAACCTTGGAACTGGGCAGATGATGTCAGCTAATATATTCCAAATGATAATGAGATATGATGGTAAAATACAAACTGCTAATTACTGCATGCCAATCAAGAATTCAACTTGAACTTGTGAAAAGGGTATCTTTTGTATATACTAGTATTAACTTGAAGTCATCGCGATCTCATCCATCACCATTAACGATTATGCAGCCCACCATCCGTACCAGGCAATTCTGCAACATAGTTCCTGGAATCAATCTCGTAGGTTTTCCCCGTGATGTCACTACCCACAACCTCCGAAGGAAACTTGTGCTCTGCCGCATAACCGTCCACCTCTGCGTACTTCTGCGGTGTATTTCCCTCGACTTCATGCATCGGCTGCGGCATAGCCATAGCCACATCATCAAGCGGCGGCGGGGGAGGCGGCATCGTGCCACCGTTACCTTCTCCAGGCTGGTAAGCTCCTGCCTCTGCTTGCTTTCTTTTCTTCTTGAGCAGGAAGAACATAAAACCCGCCGCTGCAATACCAGCAGCACCAACGACGCCGCCAACCACACCACCAATAATGGCACCAGTATTGGTCGACTTGGAGGAACCTCCAGACTTTGACCCTGAATTTGAAGACGATAGGTCTGATTCAGATGTTGCAGTTTCCGAGGCAGAAGATGACCCGGAAATTTGGACTGAAGTCGCCTTGTCTACCTTCTCGGAGGTGGCAGCCGTGCCTGAAACATATATGTCGATCCAACTGGCATCAACGACCTGAGGCCTTATGGCTGCGACTGTGGGATAGATGGCTTCTAGATCGGTGGTCGTGGCGGTGCCAGCCTGAGTGGCCGAGTGAATACTCCCACTAGCTGAGTTTGTATCCCAAGTATCCACTACAGCAATCAATGCTAGGGTTTGAGTTGTCTTGGTGTAGTCGCAGCCGTAGTCGGTTATGTCTAGCTGGGGGATACCCATGTTCGACAGTCGGGGTAGTCTGATTCGGTACAATAAAGGGCGAATATGTTCGTGGGGTAATTCAAGACTGAAGGAGTTGCAGAGACCTGTTTGCTGTTGTAACAGACTGTCTCCCAGGCGCAATCTTCTGGTTTGCCGCCATCACAACAGCCTACCATTCCGGGGTAATGGCTATCGGAGGTATGGAAGACGCATTGGTAGTTGTCCTGGCATCGAATCGATGAATCTGGAAAGAATCAACATCAGCTACCTAGGCTTTCTGTAGAGGAGACGTCGACTAAGATAGGGAAAAAACGATTAACTAGTCCGAGTCACTTACAGTCATCCCAAACACCATCAATATACCCACACACACTTTGTGGCATCCACGAGGTAACTGTTGTTGAAGCAGATGGAAAGTAAAGCAAGCTCGATTCCGCTGCAATGAACGAGCTCACAAATGCATCCTCATCATTATCATCACGGCGCAGGAAACTTGAACCCCTCTTGTGATTCACTCCGGCAGTCGGCTCAGGGTAATCCGGTTGTAAGGCTGCATGGCCTGTGGCAGTCGGTTCAGTACCCGGGAATGTAATTGCCCACGTCACAGGGAGAAAAGCAAGGCCGCACAGGCCGGCTGCTCGTCTCCAAAGCATCATCATTCAAGTCATATGCAAAAGATGCAGGTTTGGGGAGGGAAAAAGCTCAGGCTTTACGGATACGACGCCTTGCCGGTACGCTATATACATCGGGTAAAGGTCGGATCCCCCCAAACATCTATGGATTTTAATCTCCCACCTGGGCAATGTCTCGCTATCAGGGGCATCGACCCTGTCAGCCTCAGGTCCCAGTAAGCAAGCTAATGGTCTCGCCCATCGAGCATCCACTTTTTGTGCTGGTGAGATCGGTCTTACTGGTTTATAAAGGAGACCAGTCGGGCTTGGCGGCGCCAGTGGCTTCTAGACCTAACTCTGACTTGGGGAATACGAGACGAGATTTCTAGTGATTACACTAGAGATTTAATACGAGACCCGTAAGACCGACTGAAAAGATGCTTTAAAAACTTTGATATATACTCATGTACATACTCGTAGTCTCTATTGTTGAATTGGGCTCAAAACTGTGAACTGTTGTTCCGGTTCAAGAACGATCGGGACATTCCGATCCACATGAAGAGCCCCCGAGTCTTTGACGAGGACCCTGGCACTAATCCATAACAGGATATTTATCGGACGATCGCTTTTTTCAAACCGTGAACAGGCTGGAAGTCTGTAGATTGGGATTCACTACCTAGATTAAGCCAACCCAAGTTCGTCTGGCTCGCTCGGCAACAACCATACAAGTGAAAATTTAGATACCAGTTCTACCTGACTGGGTGAATAGCGAAGATCATGAGTGTACGGAGTACATACCCTCAAAATACCAAATTCGACCTACAATAATTTCAGATACTCTTCGGGATGATTGAAGAGTGAGACAAATATGTGATGGCGCAAGAAGAATAAAAATTGCAAACAAAATCAATCCATTGGGTATACTGATCCAAAGAAAAACATCCATCGCTCTAATAAAACCATGACACAAAAACGCTCCAATCATTAAATCCCACACTGAAGCTCCAAACTATTGGTTGTTCCAAAGCCAGCTCAGAACTTCTCGCTTGTCACACAGCGCGTCGCCCTCACCAGCAGCCATGCCAGGAGCTTGACGGCAAGTGTCAACCCCTTGACGAACAACTCCAATCCCCAAAACAGAAGTTTCAAGATGGTCCGAGTAACCCCTGGCAGTTTCTCGCCCTTACGAGACGATTCAGGGCCATACCGACCATATTTTTCGAGATCGAATTCCTCAACAACAACTTGCTGGTCTTTATTCTTGCCTTTCTTGGCCGTGCGTCCGCCTACAGATGACGAGGAACTCGGCTTAGTCCGTTCCCAGAACTTGAAGAGGCTCTTCCGTTTCGCCGCAGCTTCGGCCTTTGCATTGGCATCTTCAATTTGAGATGCTAGATGTAGACTTTCCGCGTAGTCTTCGCGCTCGGCGAGAGTCGTGACGAGTCTCCCGCGGTAAGGGACTCCAACCATCGGCTCACTGTTCGTATATGATTCAAATGAATGGTGGGTACTACCAATCTCCATGTCGGCGAGAATGGGATTGGTGATCTCGTCAGAGACAGCAACTGCAAGCATTGCCGCGACGAGTGAATCGATCGCATAGAGCGAGGGAATAGTCGCGATGACGGCAGCTGGGGAGATAGAAAGAGTTCGGGTTGCCAGATCGAGAGCCGCCAGCGGTTCGTCGGAGTCGGTAACGGGCAGTGTGGATGTTCGTGCCGTAGCAGCCTGTTGCGCAGCCTCCATGGAGACCGGACCAGTGACAATGATCGTTGGTGGTTGGGTAAGTACAGCATCGCTCGAAGGCGCAGATACAGCGATATGAAGCATACCCGAAGACTGAGATCGTACAGGGGAGAGGGGAATGCCCGCAGCTCCAACCAAAGCCGGCGGTTGTCGTTTCGACAGTGATGGGTGACGAAGCTCGTAAAGGCGTAAATTGCGATTCCAGGACAGTCGACAGGACTCCTGTGCGGCAGCTCGCTTAAGAGCATTTCTCTCTATTTCGCCGGCCTCGGAGGGGGTAAGTTGATGCTCTTTGCTGACCTCGGCTGCTTGCTCGATGGCAAGCATAGCAGCTAGTCTGGAAAAGAGAAGGGCCACGAGTCCGTCATTGGGATGCTCTCTGCGTCGGCGCTCTTCGAGACTCAGACCCATAATTGGAATATCACTTTCCGGATTTGATGGCGCTCCACGAGAAATAGCAATTTCGTTATTCGAATAAGTTTGCAGCGTATAAAATGGTTGGTTGGAGTTGCCGAATGTGAATGTCGCTGGGCCGGTTCTGGGGTAGAAGTTAGCAAGTTGACTTGACCAGCAAAGAGCGTTGGGCATGAAATACCTTGTCAAGCGAAGGTTGATTGTCCCGCATGGGTTCTGTGGCCTTTGACCGTTGGCTGCTTCCCAAAGCATTTCCAATTCCTGGACAGAGGAGTATCGGATCTCCTCCGGCTCCAAGGCACCGGTTGGAAAGTTGAACACGCTTGCAGGGACAGTCTTTGGCCCAAGAACATGGTCGATATCAGATGTTGTAGTTAGTGTGAGGTTTGGCCTGCGATTAGGCTTGGGCTTGGGGGTTTCGGTAGGCATTTGTGAATCATTATTTTGAGTGTTGAGCGAGGTCTTTGGATCAAAACGAGGGAACATCGACCTCATCGGCAGTGGAGAAACGGAAGATTGGGAAGATTGAGGCGAGGTAGTTGAATTCGTATTCTGCTCACTGTTGCTACTACTATCACCGGTGCTGCCTTGTGAGGGCAAGGGCCGATGGTTGATCGGACTGGTGTTTTGATGCCTTCGGTTGCGAGGAGACTGTGGAGATCTCGAGTGTTGGGAAGATTGCGTGGCTGGTGACTTTGATCGTGCGAAGTGCGTAGCAGGTAAAGCTGGTGGAGGTGGAAATTGTTGAGTGTCTTCGATGATTTGAAGCAATATCGACTCGGTATTCGTAGAGCTCTTGATCTCTTCAAGCGGAATGGGAGATGGCGGTTCATTCTTCGGAACAGGCTTTTTGGCACCTTTTCGAAATGGATTTCTTTGCGCTCTTACCTCAGGCGAAGGAGGCGGAAACAATTGAAATTGACTCATTGTGTTGGTTACGATGGGATACAATACTGTGCTGAGTATCAATCAATGCACTGGAGTAGGAGTTCCAGAGCAAACATAGGACTTACGAGCAAGACCCGACCAGGGGGGCGTTTCGAAAAACATATAGTCCATATCAACCGCTGGGCTCTACATGCTGCAGAAATGCAGCCGGGAGCCAAAGCGCGTCGAATGTGACAAGCCCTATTTTTAGGGGCGGCGCCTAGGGTATAGCGGCCGTGATTGGCTGCTGCAGTGGGATGAGAACAGTGACTTGAGCGACCGGCGCGTCGAGCATACTTGCTGATTGGTTTCATCTATGCCACAGGTGGGAACGGCATTTCCTTTTTTGCAAATCTCTCTTGTTCCTGGCGTTCTTGGATATTAATTGGCGGTCGACTCGGTAGGAATCTCAAGCTAAGTTAGCGCCCCGAGCAGTCGGCGCATACAAGCCAGGTGCATGACGGAGAAAAAGTAGCTAGAAAGACAATTAGTTTCTTCAATCAACGGTGGTCCCCAGTATCCGATGTTGGTTGGCTGTTTGTCAATTAATCGAACCGGTTAGTTCAAGATCCTGACCCCGCCCACCGGTAGTTAAATGCGGGGATGAGTCGATACAGAGAAATACTGAAAGACACCAGTCTATTGAGCGTTATATTTACATCATATAGTACAGTATACTGCTTTGAGAGTGCTCAAGCTGAGGCTTCATCATGCACAGAATACATCAGCCCCTCGGCCATCGCAATTGCACCCTCCATATCACCCTTATTATATAGGAACAAGCCTTGCAAAGCAGCCGCACTAGTAGTCTTCGAACGGTCTGCCTTCTGGCCGTTCTCATCCTCGATCAAACCAAGCTCCTGGAGTCGGTTGAGGAAGATTTGGCGGTGTGTACCCTCGGTATCAATCTCTGCATAGAAACGATCCCAAAGGCGGGAAACTTGATAGCGAGTAATTTCGCCAAGGCGGACCGTCATGTCGACACGGCCAGGTCGGACCAAGGCTTCGTCGAGTCGCTCGACGTGGTTGGTGGTAAGGAAGACTATACGCTCCTCGGCACTGGCAACGCCATCAAGTGTATTCAACAGACCGGAGAAAGTCACATTGGCTCCACGGTAGCCATCGGCCTCAGACTGTGTGCGTCTGTTGGAAAAGGCCGCATCGACGTCCTCCAGCAAAACTAAAGTTCGGTTTGGGACAATAGTTAAGAGATGGTTTAAGCGATCATCCGTCAGCCCCCGCTCACTGAGATTTAGGATGGCAATATCGTAGTCCAGCTCGCCAGCAAGCGCTTGGATGAATGAACTTTTACCGGTGCCTGGGGGTCCGTAGAGCAAGTATCCACGTCTGTATGGAATGCCGCGATCATGATACCAGGAAGCGCTCCCGATAAAGTCTTGCACGTCATCGACAATACGTTCTTTGACCCCCTCAGCGAGGACCACTGACTCGAGTGGACGCTTCCGTCGTGGATGTCCAAATGGCCGCCATTCCGTTCCCCAGCTGTTATAGATAGTCGTCTTTCCTTCGTGTGATTTCGCAGCGTAATCATGGGCCTCGGTAAAAAGATCCTCGAATATGTGACGGTGGGAGTAGAGAGTGGTCAAGGTAATCGTTTCCCAAGGTTTGCCGGTTTGAATGTCGCGGGATTTAGATTCCCGCATACGGTTGACAAAGATGAATGCGTTTTTGTAGCGGAGGACGTGTTTTCCAGGACCTGGTACCAGAGAAAAGTGTGTTTGGATCGCGCCGTTTGCCCGTTCGACTTTGGAGGTCTGTATGGAGAGGTGTCGCATGCCGGGAGTCATCTTCTGGAGCATGCGATCGATGAAACCGGTATTTTGGGCAGCGGCACGAGTAGCGGAGAGTTGTGATTGTTGATAGAGGGTCATCCAGTGTAGGAACCATGGGTATGAATCATCTTTAATGCTGATCTCGACGTCTACTAGCATGCGGCGGCGGAGTAGAGCTGCACCGTGACGGACACCCTTTTGCGCAAAGGTCAAACCTGCACCCAAACCGGCTAGCCCAAAGCCCTAGGGAAAGAACCGCGTTAGACAAAAAGGAAAACGAAACAGCCATGTTAATTGGAGATAATTGGACCAAGCATACCGCCGTGAACAAAGGATTATTTGTTAATTGGGAAAAAAGGCTGCCGTCGCTATTTTGCGCCGCTTGTTGCGCGTTCTGGACGGCCTGTGTCTTCTGCTGCAAGATCAGATCGCCTGCAGATGGCGCAGCATTGGAAGCTCCATTTGGCTCCATGCTGGCCGAGTCGAAGGGTAATATAGAAGCAGTATTTACTGGAAGGTGTAGTCTTCCAGAAAGAACCCTACCGTAGTCTAGGAGGTCGACGATAAGAAACTCTCGATATCGGAGTTATAACGGGCCGGGCTGGCGTGACGGGTGACGGAAGGGCCTGGGGTGCTTCAACTAGATCCTTTTCGTGCGACACTAATTGGTGATCACTGCTATTTATCTGTTACTACAATCTTGGACCATGGCTGGTAAACTGTTGATCGGCTGACAGCTCCATCCATATCCCCCATTCCAGAGTCGATTTTGCGGGGAAACGGCCTTCACATGGAGCCGACGGAGGGCGAGACTGGCCAACTCCGCCCCGGAGATATCGGGGCCAAATCGATTGGGTCCTCTTCAAAAACCTTCCGCATTCCTCCCAATAGTAGCGGCCTGGCGCAGGGTTCGCGGTCGAGTGCATTGGGGTGTATTTAAAAGCGTTAGCATCCCCTCATGCTTGCTTTTCTACAGCGTCCCCGAATTTGTCGGCGGCCGAATTACTTGACTTCCACCTTCTATTCGCCCGTCCGCAATATGGGCTCGACCACGACTGGTGTGCTGTACGCGTTGACAGTGGCCACCTCCCCAGCCAGGCCAGCCCCCGAAGATGTCTTGGAAAAGAGTCATCATGGAAAATCGGGATTCAGAAACCCCTGGGAGTGAGTGGTCGCGTTTGCTGACGCCTTCGGTTGTCGCATGATCCTAACCCGAAATTTTCCTCGTTCAGCTCATGGAAAGATGTGGATTTCAGCAATGTCCGCGAAATGCTCATGTAAGTGCTCTGGAAAAAGCCGAAAAGGAAAGAAAATATGCAAGTCCATGATCTAATCGATTTTTCTCCTTCTTCTCGTGATAGGCGTCGCTTGACCGGCAAAGCCAATGTACCCGACACTACAGGCCCAACCGTCACAGTTCGAAAGCCCGAATTCCTTTCTACTCGAGATAACACAAAACTTCGTGCAACATGGCTTGGACACGCCTGCTATTATATTGAGTTTCCTGGTGGTCTTCGGGTTCTTTTCGATCCCGTATTGGACAAGCACTGCGGTCCTTACGGTCTGCTGGGACCGAAGCGATACACGCCCGCTCCCTGTGAGATCAAAGATATCCCTTTGATCGATGCTGTGGTCATTTCGCATAATCATTATGATCATCTCTCCCACCCTGGTGTGACTGAAATCGCCAAGTTACACCCCAACTGTCATTTCTTCGTTCCGTTGGGTAATAAGGCCTGGTTCCATAGTTGCGGAATCGAGAAGGTGACGGAAATGGATTGGTGGGATGAGCGCGACATCACTCTGTCCCCATCAAATGATGAGAATGCCCAAATGGAGGTTACGGGAAAAGCTACAATTGGACCGGCGGAGATCAGGGCTCGGCTTGGGTTCTTGCCCTCCCAGCATGTTACCGCTCGCACACCCTTTGACCGCTTTAAGACTCTATGGGGCTCTTGGTCTATTGAGTCTGGAGGTAGCAAGGTGTATTTCACAGGGTCAGTTATTTACGATGCTATTGAGTCGAATATAGATAGGTGAACTAACTGGTTGAACAGCGACACTGGTTACAAAGCAGTCCCTGAGCTTCCCGAAGGCGAAGATGACCATGACGCCAAGTACGACTATCCTATCTGTCCCGCATTCAAACAAGTGGGCGAATTCCGAGGTCCCTTTGACCTGGGCTTGATTCCTATCGGAGCATATGCCCCTCGTCACATCTGGAGCCCGGCACATGTGGATCCCCATGATGCCGTTAATATTTTCCAGGATACCAAGTGCAAAAACGCACTTGGAATGCACTGGGGAACGTGGGTTCTTACTGAGGAGGATGTTCTTGAGCCTCCGGAGAAGCTGAAGACCGCACTGAAGAAATTCGACATACCTGAAAAGGGTGTTTTTGACGTGTGTGAGATTGGTGAGAGCCGGGAATACTGATCTTGGGGAAATATCTACCCAGATATTGATTTTTGTTGTGGTGCATTTATATAGAAGTTCATAACAAGCGCGGTGTACACTACATGGAGGGGTTGAAGATACTGTACGATAGGAGGGAGTCGGATTGGGTTGAGATGCACAAAGAACCAACTCTATAAGCATTTGAATTGTGATCTACACTGCTGAATCTACTCATCATAATAATCCTTGGAATTACCATTAGTATTTATTACTAGGAGTACTGCATACTAACTAGTATCATGGTTCATGGGTTAAGTGAAGTAAATAATCTTCCACCGCCTTCGGTTTGACTGGTTTGCTGTTACCCGTTCGGGTTTAGTGTGGTTAGTCCAGAAGCTCCCACTTTGGAAATTTGGCGGGCATCGACGTGGATCCGAGTTGGCTTCTCCTGACTGTTCATTTTCTCGGGAGCTCTTCTTATTTCGATTTTATCGTCCCTGAGCCCGCTTCATTCTTTCCATCAACCCTCCGTTATATTACCGCAAATATGCAGGCTCCGGTGGTGGTGATGAGTTCGTGCCCCTCTTCGGTAGCGCCGATGACATTGCTAACCCCTCGACAGACACCAATGCCGGTGACCGACAAGTCGGCCGTCGGGCACAACTGTCGAACATTACCGCTGCAAAGACGTACGATTCAATTTCCCCCTCGCGATACCCTCCGTATAACACTAATCGAATAACCCCTTAGTGTGGCCGACATCATTCGGTCATGTCTCGGTCCCAAGGCGATGCTGAAGATGCTGCTCGACCCAATGGGCGGTATCGTGCTCACCAACGATGGCCACGCCATTCTGCGTGAAATTGAGGTGTCTCACCCCGCCGCTAAGAGCATGATCGAGCTCAGCCGTACTCAAGATGAGGAAGTCGGTGACGGAACCACAACAGTCATCATTCTGGGTACGACTCTCCCCTATCTCGAAGATCTCCCGGGGAAAAAAAATACTGATAACATGGTAGCCGGTGAAATGCTTGCCCAGGCCCTCCCTCAGCTCGAACGTAACATCCACCCCGTCGTCATTATCTCTGCCTTCAAGCGCGCTCTCGCCGATGCTCTCACCATTATCGAGGAAGTTTCCACCCCGGTCGATATCCACGATGACAAGGCCATGTATAACCTGATCCAATCCTCCATCGGAACCAAGTTCGTCTCTCGGTGGTCTGAGCTCATGTGCGGTCTCGCATTGAGCGCCGTCCGTACAGTTTCGTTTGATGCGGGCGGTGGAAAGCAAGAGGTGGATATCAAGCGCTACGCGCGTATCGAGAAGATCCCCGGTGGTCAAATCGAGGACTCCGAGGTTATCGATGGCGTCATGGTCAACAAGGATATCACCCACCCCAAGATGCGGAGGCGGATCGAGAACCCCCGCGTTCTTCTCCTTGACTGCCCGCTCGAGTACAAGAAGGGCGAGTCCCAGACCAACATTGAGGTCTCCAAGGAGGACGACTGGAACCGCATTCTTCAGATTGAAGAGGAACAAGTGAAGCACATCTGCGATGCTATCATCGCATTCAAGCCCGATCTCGTCATTACTGAGAAGGGTGTTTCTGGTAAGCATCCCAGCGGTGGACAGGGGTGATCATTTTTCTAACCTATACTTCTTTCACTAGATCTCGCACAGCACTTCCTGGTCAAGCACAACATCACTGCTCTCCGCCGCGTCCGTAAGACCGACAACAACCGTATCGCCCGTGCCACTGGTGCCACTATCGTTAACCGTGTCGACGACATCCAAGAATCCGACATTGGTACCCGCTGCGGTCTCTTTGAGATTGAGAAGATTGGTGACGAGTATTTCACATTCATGCGCAAGTGCACGGCTCCCAAGGCCTGCACTATCCTGCTGCGCGGTCCCTCCAAGGATATCCTGAACGAGATCGAGCGTAACCTGCAGGACGCCATGTCCGTTGCCCGCAACGTGATCTTCCACCCCCGCCTTGCTCCCGGTGGTGGTGCCGTCGAGATGGCTGTCTCTGTCAAGCTCAGTCAGATTGCCCGCTCTATCGAGGGTGTCCAGCAATGGCCCTACAAGGCTGTCGCGGACGCTATGGAGGTCATTCCTCGCACATTGGCACAGAACGCCGGCGCCAGCCCTATTCGCGTGCTGACCCAGCTGCGCGCCAAGCACGTCGAGGGCCACTCCACCTGGGGTCTGGATGGTGACTCTGGCAAGCTGGTTGATATGAAGGAGTACGGTGTGTGGGAGCCCGAGGCCGTCAAGCTCCAGAGTATCAAGACGGCAGTTGAGGTAAGCTCTCCTGATCCCATCAATATATATAAATTTCATTTTGCTAACGAATAACACAGTCCGCATGCCTGCTTCTCCGCGTCGACGACATCTGCAGTGGTAAGTCTGCCCAGCAGGTCAGCGGCGGCGGCGGTGGTGGTGGTGAGGAGTAAGTAATAGATGAGTATGACCAAGAACCAAAAAAGACCATGATTCATGGACCTGAGGTCCGTACATAATGCTACACGATTACCTCTGGGGTATTTCTTATATGTACAAATATCCTAGACCAAAATGAACTGTCATATGGGTATCTTTGTAAAATTATCGTACATGGCTAGTCCCTAGGGTAGTCTAATAACCGTCTTCTGTTGACCAGTTCAATCCTCATCGTGAATAATCACACCGGGGACCTCCTCGTACTGTGGCTGCCCATCAGTAGCCCCATCTTGGCCCTGTTGCTGGCCCGGGGCTCGGGGGCCCTTCATGCCACCCTTCCCACCAACCTCTGTAACCGTACCAGGGGCCTTGGCCTCATCCGGACCCTTCTTATTGCCCCTCGCAGCCTTCTTCTTCTCCCTCCTCCTCCGATTCTTCTCAGTCTTCTCATCATCCTTGCGCTTCGTATCCTCGCGCTCCTTCTCCCAATCCTTATCACCCTGGTCCTTATCAACCTCCGACTGCATCAAGCGCAATCGCTCATATTCTCGCCGCCGACTAGCCTTGTAGACATGGAATTCTCCTGATCCCGCACCGGCCGAGGAACCTTGTACGTTGGCGACGATCTCTGGCGGCGGTGCGAGGGAGTTGGCACTTCGCTTGTTCCCGGTGCCAGGTAGCGCGACCTCCTTCGACGGGTCTTTGAAGAGTGTATCGATCTGGCTTGCGTGGTCGGATCGGGGAGTCACGGCACGACGCTTCGTCGGGCGCTGGCTGCGCGGGTCAGCGCTTGTTGGAATGGATTCGCGACCAGGCTCGGACATTGTGATGGCGTTGGAAGGGGGTTTCGAGATGAGGGATCTTTTTTTGAGTAATGCGATTATTTGAAGAGCTGTTTACCCCGGTCGTAAATGTTTCTGGAGGGTGGCAGCGTTTTCTTGTTCTTTTTTTCCGGAGCAATCGAGGCTCGGATGGGTAGTTTGATATGGCGTTTATTGGCGCCAAAGGTCGTTCGAGTCTGGGAAACAAATGCTCATTCGGTGGGAATGTGTTCTCGAGAGGGCGGCGCAAGTGTTTGGATGTGCTATCGAATCCACGAGACGAGGATTCCGGTCTTGGCTTAGATAGTGAATGATTTTGAAGGTAAGGCGGATGCTGGTCAACGCGATGCGCTAACCGTTTTCGGACAGCTGAAGTATAGGCTAACCTTGGGAAGTGTCAGACCTGATCAGTTATAGCTATCATTATTCTCTTTCTACTAGTACATTATCAAATCCATATAAAATCGAAATTCTACCGTGACTCTGCGCCAACACAGTGACGAATAGACTAAAACTGTGGTCTAGTAGTTGATGCGTAGAAGTAATCTTTCGGCACAGGTAAATGACCCAGCTAAGTCGGAGCTTGGTTCTTCCGCTGGGGTACATGTAGTATTTCCTTTGACGAGGGCTTTGTGAATATTGTACTGGTGATAACCTTAGGAACCTTTGTCTTCTATGATATTCTATTCTATACTCGTATCAATGGTATTAATGGTATCATATAGTATGAAGTGCTGGTAAATACTGGTTTTAGCTGGTAACTGGTGGTAAGTGCTGGTCGCAACTGCCTACAGTTTCCCCCAACGTCACTCGCACTTGCACCTTCTGCCTACACTGCCATTCTCTCACGGAACTTTTCACCTGGCAACTTCCAGTCTCTCCCGTTCCTCACTCCTCACTCCCAGTTAATTCTAGTTGTTACCAGTAATTTCCAACACTTCTGTTTAAAACATCGAGTTCTCCTCCATCGCGCATTCCACAATGCCGTACCGCTTCGGTAAGTAACTGCCCCCTCGTTCTCGTGCTGCCCGTTGTCCAAAGAGACTTGATGGCCGCATCATCCACACCAACTCTTTGCATGAACAATGGCTTGTGTTTATCAAGGGAGAGAATACACTTCCCTTTACTTTTCTATCGACTCCTCTGCGCGTGGACGAAATTCCTGGAATTTCCAAGAGCGCGCTTTGCGCCCGAAGCAGTCCACTTGCGCTCCCTCTCTCTCCACGCTGCTTTCCATCTTCTAATGCCATCCAGCACACAAAGGAAAATGGGGATTTTCAGTAACTGACTGAAAATATAGAGCTTGCGTCCAGCAATCGTGCGGGCTGCCAGACCAAAGAATGCAAAGACAACAAGGTCAAAATCAAGAAGGGTGAGCTGCGCGTCGGCAGCTGGATCGATACCGAACGAGCCCAGTACTGGGCCTGGCGCCACTGGTAAGCCCTTATCATCAAACCCGACTGTACTACTTTATAACACCCTCTCTCAGGGGCTGCACCACGCCTCGTGTGCTTCTGAACATCAAAACGTCCATCGCCGACGAAGAGGATGACAAGCAGCTTGACTTCGATGCTTTGGATGGCTTCGACGAGCTCTCTCCCGAGCATCAAGAGAAGATCAAGACTGCCATCGAGAAGGGCCATATCGAAGATGATGAATGGAAGGGTGTAAGTACTCTAACGCCTGGGTTCCATTTCAGTGCATTGACAAAATCCTGCTAGGACGTCGCGCACAACCGCCCCGGCATGACCGGCATGTTTCCCCGCAAGTCCAAAGCTAAGGCTGTATCTGAGACTCCATCTCCGGTATTTTCTCATTTCTATTCCTCGAGATGTGCAATTGATGACTGATCCTTCTTTTAGAAGAAAACCAACCCGACGCCCGCCGAGGATGCCAAGACCGAGGCCAGTGACAAAGCCAAAGAAGAAAATGCAGCCCAGCCAAAGCACAAAGCCAATAGCAAAGGAAGTGTCAAACCCAAGGGCAAGAATGGAGCCGATGCTACAGATAAAGCTTCGTCTGATGAAAAGAAGCCCACCGGAAAGCGCAAGAAGGCTGCCACTGCTGAGGTGACCCCTGATGATGCACCTATCAATGGCGATCACAACGAGGAAGACGAACTTGCTCCCAAGCGCAAGAGAGCGACCCGTGCTAAAAAGGTGGTCCCTGAGGCAGAAGCCGACGAGAACACCAAGGTCGAGAAGCGAGCCCGCCCTGCTAGGAATGCTGCCAAAGCCAATGGAGGTCGTGCTAAGAAGACTACTCAAGAGAAAGATACTGGAGAAAAGACTGCTGAAAATGCGGAGAAGCCCAAGCGTGGCCGTCGCAAGGCAGCATTGCGACAGGAAGCTGATTAGGTCAACATACTCAGTCAACATACCTAGTTTACCTGTCTGGCTACTTGATTAGCACCATGTCTCACATACTTAATGATTCATCACCACATGTTTGTTCTACTTGATAAGTTTAATTCTTAGTCAGATATCACGCAAAGAAATCAAACTTAATTTAAAAAGCTCAACTACCTCATAAAAATAATGATAATTGATATAAAAACCACTGTTTTATCATAATGAAGCGAGAAAGAAAGCAATCCTCCTAGCAATGCACCTGCATCCCACTCGTTAGAATATATGTGATAACCCACTTACTGATCTTTTTAGAACGCATCAGAAAATACCAGAACGAACAAAACACGAACGCCCAAATCCTGCATGTCCTAGCATCCCTGCCTTGCTATCCCATATCCTCATCAAATTGGCACCCCGGATCCCTCTCCTATCACATACAATCTAATTTCCACCCACTCCCCGGCTCCGAAGTAGAGCATGGACATCCATGTACCTTTCCGGATTATTTTTCAGAAATTCACTGCGCTTATCGTTAATTTCCATACGCAGAAGCGGGTACGAATTCATCACTTTCCAGAACTTCTTCCCATCCTCGTACTGGAAAAGATCAATCGTTTCGGCGATGAACGGCACGATCCACTCCCGAAAGGGATCGCTAGCAGCCAAATGCACCGGATCAACGATGCGGACAACTTCGATCAGGGGCTTAAGAGGATAAATACCTGGATATGAATTCCAGGCAATTTGCAGTTTCTGAATGACGTTCTCCATCAAAAGCTTGATATCAAAAATCCGAGCCTGTTTATAAAGCCGACCGAGACTGAGTATTAGCTTTTGTAGACCCTTGATATCGTCGTTGCCCTGCAGCTGTATACCCTGCAGCTGAAGCTTCCGGCCAATTCTCAGGATATCACCTATTTGTCGTGTTTGGCTTTTGTCGTTGGAATTCTCGTCTCCGGCGTTATTCGCGAAAGGGACTGGATCCTTGACTTCGACAACCCGAGGGTTGAAATGGCCGGAATTTAGAAACATGCAGATCTGCTCGGCTTCTGGTTGATCCTCAACATCAAGATGATGTCGAAAAATTCTTCGGATTGTAGAGCGGTATTCGTCGCGCAGAAGGAAATGATTCTGAACCTGTCGGAAGGTCATTCCCAGAACAAGTTCTTTCTGTTGGCTCTCTTCTGGATCTTCTCCTTCCTCTTGCTTTATATGGCTCGTGGGTGTATTGGTAGACAACGCCTAACCCCGTCAGTAAATGTTATGTGCGATTTCAAATTCTGCATATATCCGATGTAAAACGTACTGGGAACCGGGCAATATGGGAGCCCGCGGGTGCGGAACTTTCACTCTTTACGTCTTCTTTATCCGACGAAAGATCATCTGAATCCGAATCGGAGGAGATTTTGGCAAAGACATGGTCGTAGCCATCTGGTCGAATAAGCTCCATTTGCTTACCACGTTTGCCTTTCATGATTTCTTCATCATCGGCCATTTTGAGCCAGAAATCAATTTCGGGGGAAATCCTAGCCAGGTCAAGAACTTCCTGAAATAGCTTCTCATCTTCTTCTCCGAAGATAGCAGCATATTTGACCGGTGGGGTTTCGGGCAGATTGAAGAGCTCTTTGACAGAAGCGTAACGGCTACCGAATTTGTTAGCAAATGTAGCTATTATTGCAGGGATTCAGGTAGGTGAGTGCTTTGAAAGACCCTTCAATACCAGAGTAGCTAACTTCAGCGAAGTAGCCAACTTACAAGGTGTTTCTTGCAGGTAGGAAGCATGGGTAACATCTTTCGCTAGTGGGCGTAGTCCAGGTTCCGTCGGCAGGTTTCGCCTCGGAAGGCCGACGATGAAGTCCATGGCGCTCAATTTCGTCGTCCGGAAGTATGATAGCAACCCATATGTCTGTCTTGTAGTCCCGGCGAGCGCTTTTAAAGCGATGGAGGTAGGCTTGACCGGGGTGTAGCTCTACCATTCGATTGGCAGGTTTTAGGCCCTGTGCAAACATGACTCGTTGTGTCATTTTGAAGAAAGGATTTCGTCCTGAAAACGGAATAATTGAAGGTTTTAGTTCAGTGGGACAGGGTAAGTAGGGAACAGAACTGAACAGGTCTGGCGGATCAGTTGAGGAATGGGTAGGTACCTGGTTCAGTGAGAATGTAGGCGATTGAGTAGATTCTGAGATTGAAGCGGTCGAGAAACCTTAGCGAGATTCTCAAGGGAGATGCAGAAGAATAGAGGAAAGAGGAAAGACCTTGGGAGGAAGACGTATAAGGAGTATTGTGGGCAGACATATAGTAAGAGGTAACGAATAGGTGAAGCGTATTTTGAAAAAGAGAATACGCCGCGATGGCGATGGTACACAATTGGAGAAGAAAAGAAAAACCTTAGGCTTACCTTTGCGCTGGCTAGTGTAAAGATCGTCGAATGCACTAGAAGGGCAAGAAGTAATGGTGCGGGAGGGAAAAGGTCACGACGGAAACAAATAGAAGAAGAAGAAGAAGAAGAAGAAGAAGAAGAAGAAGAAGAAGAAGAAGAAGAAGAAGAAGAAGAAGAAGAAGAAGAAGAAGAAGAAGAAGAAGAATGGCGCGGGTTTGAAGCATGCAGGAGTTGAGATGCAAGATGTAAGGGAACCGAAGGCAGTCAGTGGCTAAAAGAAGAAGGTTAGAAAGATTCAGCGACCTCGATACGTCATATTCTGCCAAGGACTCTTCGTATAGACTCGAACGATAGATTGTGATGAAAGGGATAAGCCGAGGAAGAAAAAGACACCACTGGAATAAAGTCCAAATGCCATGCCATTCATTGTGAACCTCACAATACCCGCCTATTTGAGGAAACTTTCCAGGATGCGCTTTTTCCAGATACAAAAAAAGATACGACATACAGAATTTTCAATTCAGGTTTACTTGAAGATGATTGAGGTGGCCGGATTTCTCATTTCTGATTTCTTGATAGCTAAAGAGGCTATCGGCTATGGATACAGGCACTGCCTGAATAAGGAGTGGAGACATAGTGTCAATAGATAGCAAAAAAATAACAAGACAACAGAACAGACAATGCAGACAATACGCGGAAATTTCGTCGGTGGTTAGAACGTCAAGGAGTGAAGAGGTTAACGCAAGTCAATGCCAGAACCCTCAAGACGCCGGGTACAATTAAAAATGATTAGGCGGTTTCTTCAAACCAAACAAATGACGACCAACCTCGATGGAAAGAAGAGGTAATATGCTGTCAAAGCAAAAGGGCGACTGGCCAAAATCGCAGTGAAATAGTCATTCTGGTTCATAAGCAATCCTTCCTATCCATTTCAATGTCAATTTGTGTTGTTTATGCCGCAAAATCGAGAACCGTAAGGACGACGAGACAACCGACTAGAACAACAGCTTTGGGGTCCGTCTGAGGCTGTTATAGAATAAGCATTCCAATGTAATAATTTGGGGGCGATATAAGTAGCAGTCAACGAAGCCTGACAAGATCAGGCAACGAACGAGAAAAGTTGGAGGGATCCTACCGGATCTCCGCAAGGTCATCCATATGGTTGCACATAGCCACAAATAGGTCAAAAAATAACTTGCCACCGTTCTCCATCTCCATCTGCATGGTTCCGCTTCTCTTGAAAGTCTTGCGACTTCGGATAATGAGAGCCAGATAATGAGCGCGCAGTCGAGACTCGGAATCCGGAGTGTTGTCATACGCATAGCGAGCAGATCGTAAGATCACATCGGCCGGGATATCAGTTTGAAGACCTTGCTTACGGAGAGCAATGCGCTTCAAGTCTTCCAGACCGTACTTCTCGGCAGTGCAATAGACCACCGTATCCCGAAGAACGATATCTCCCACGCCTGGGTGGAAGAAAGTCGCCTCACTCGACCCGCGGCCACCATTGTTATTGGTTTCCTGGGCATTCTCAAGGTACCAAGAGTCCCGACGCTTGCCATGCAGCAGGCGTGGGTAGTAGTCACCCTTGTACAAAAACTCGAGAATGCACGACAGGATTTCGGGCTCCCTATGTGTATGGCATTAGGTTACCACTGTGGCCGAGGCCGTATCGAGGGGGCTCTTACTCGGCGGGCAGCTCCAGTTGCTTTGTGCCTTCCTCCAGAGATTTTTCCTTCAAGATCATACGAAGATATGGCGAAAGAGACAGAACATCCTCATGTGCAGCGAAAAGACGCTGCTCTTGACCGACTATCATCGATATGATAGGGCTAGTTAGAGCGCTATAATTATTAGGTTAGTGATTGTGATTCCAAGCTTGAAGAATCGAAACTTTACCACCTTCCCACCGAAGGAGCGTCCGTGTTGCTGTCCACTTTCTCCTGCATCTTCTCTTTGGCCTGTTCGTCGTACCTCTTCTTGCCAGCCTTGACGGTCTTTCCCGCCCGGCTTTTCGAAGAAAAGGAACGTCTAAACATCACGGTGCGGACTTGAGTACTCGACCTGGAATATGTGTTGAACTGACGAGGAAATCCTGAGCGATCAGAAGGAATGATATGAGTTGGTCAAATGAGGGAAAAAGCGACGCTGCGGGTCACAGGAGCATGTGAGAGAGCCTGGAAAGCCGGTACCGACTCTGGCTTTCTCGTTTCATCAAGAGACGAGATGAGACAGATTTCGGATTGGGCTTTTGCATTCGCGAGTTCAGAACTCACGGCGCGGGTTGTCGACTCTGGCAAGCGTAAAGAGAAAAGGAAAAGCACGGGGGAAGAGGGGAGACCAGTGATATTTAAGACACGGGGTCAGGTGATATCAACTGCAGGTGCCGCCATCACCGGGGCGCAGGCGATGCGGCGCATTGCAAGCTCGCTGGCTGCTTTGCCAACGGGCGTTCGGAGTGTGGCGCCAAAGGTGATGGTGGGATTGGCTGGCCGCTGCACGATCGGCGTTGCGATATGCACGTCGGTTCTGCCTAGTGGAGGCTAGATCACTATACATACCGAAGAGGGGCGGTGGAGGTATGGAGTATATAGCAAGGTATATTGAATTCAATAGTTAAAATAAACTTGAAGTTGCGAAAGACAAATGGAGTGGTAGGGTATTGATCATGTTGAATGCTCCAACACCTCTAGCATTTTTGACAAGTGACAAGTCATTGATACAACAAGTCTTTCTTGCCCGCAAGAAAGAGAAGTAGGCACTTTGGGATTCAGCACGGCTGCCTTGTCGAATCCAAATGATTACAGGCGAAGTGTCTTACTCAGAGCATCCTCTTAAGACAAAATGCCACACCCAGCAGCACCAAGCGTCACGCCAAAGCTTTGAAAGTGACCAGCAGTCACGCCGACCATACCATTTCCAGCAGAGCATGACAGATCGCGCTGGCCATCGCACCTTTTGCAGGTAAGCGCAAGTCCTGAGCTATAGTACTCCTGTTTGAGACAATGAGTCTTAGAATTAGATTTCCATGGGTTCGGAGGTTGGGGCAACTCACGGTTCCGTAATGCTTAAAACTGTATGGAATTGTGATGTACATGTTCTTGAACCTGGTTAGAAATAACTCTCATACAGCAAGGCATTAGACCTAGACCTAGAAGGACTCACCGGGACGCCATCAGCAGCGTTGTTTCCGCGGTTCAGGGTTCCCTTGAGAGATCCTGCAAAATTGGCCCAGGCTTCGTTTCCGATAGGGAAAGCAGCCAGGGCATTGCTGGTGATTTCCTTGCCGGGGGAAGTTCTGCGAGAGCGCCACGTAGGAGATGTAGGTAAGCGCGCCACCAAGTGAATGCCCCGTTGACTCCAGGGTATAGTCGGGATACTTCGCGATTAGAGACTTAACCTCAGAGATCACGTCGTCATGCACAGCAGACCAGGGACGGTTGACACCCCTCATGATTTGTACGCCTGCAGGAAAAGTGACTCCAGACAACGATGGAGTAACCAAAGTAGTATCAACATCGTTCAGAATATCCGTAACTAGTGTACTGATTAGACGGATGTGTGATCTCCGACAGAAGAGGTGAAATACCAGTTGTCGACCCCCTCATCACCACTGTAATTTTCTTGTTATCTGTCGAATACCCAACATAGCCCTAGAAAAGTCATTAAGGAGCGGATTCTATTTGTCCACGATCAACTTACCTGGGTGTCGGTCAAAGTATCTCGGATCTGCTTAGTGATTGTCACATCAAAAGCTTTGCCGATGCAGCCGGTATAGGCAGCAGAGGAGAGTTTCGCAGCACGGGCAAGGGGGCTGAAGGCACTGGTATCTGTTTAGATAAAGGTCTCAGAGACGTTGTCATCATAAGGCAATTGTAACAGAGGGTGGGATCCGCAAACCGGTTGTAGCCCGCGATTGCAGTGTTGGGACTGCAATGGCCTGGGAGATTAAGGCAAGAAGACAAAATCCCTTCATTTTCAGATAATATAGGAAGCTATAAGTAAAAGTCTTTCTTCTTGGTGTGGTAACTGAAGTTTTATCTGGTTGTTTTAAAAAAAGAAACCACTGGGGAGAAAAGCTGTTTAAGAATTCTCTGCGACTACTAGTATATGTTACATCGACATTGGCCTCGGTAAGAGTTGGAAGGCTTGGATGCAATATTTCGGAATATTTGTTTGATAGCTAGGACATTCGAAATATGGGCTCCGCGACGAAAAAGGGAATAACATAAAGCTAGAACAATGCTATGCAGATTGATGGAGCAAGGTCCGCTCTGGTGTGCATCGGGAATTGCAGGGTGAAAATGTGTGATATCCTGGGCAAGAAGCAAAAGCGTGTTGGTATTTTGACGAGCGAAACATCCGAGGCTTGGGGAAGCTTCTCGGGACTCGAAAAGCCCTTTTCATTTTAGAGGCATCGAGTAACTGACGAGACGGGTTACCGTTGCAACCTGTGATGGGGTCTAGTCATGCAGCAGGAGGTAGCCAAGATAATTTCCAACGGTAATATCGAGCGGGAATGGTAAAAATGTAGTTATTTTAGCGGGTTGTCCCGATTTGGTTTCCAGCCTTCAAGCTGGTTTCCCTGTTGAATGGCTCTCCGGCAAGTCCGGGGAACGGGCGTTGCGGGGAACACTAGCGGCGATGACAAGCCCGAAAATGAGGATTAGACCCTGTACTTCGTATTAATACATGTCTAAGTAGTGGACAGCCGTGTTCTTTCACTGGTCATAGTTTTCTCGGTATCGACGATCTCGTCGCCAGTCCGACCCCGCCATTCGTCTCTCTCATCAACGTTTTGAGACACTCTATCATAGATCAGGATGTAAAAGTTCAGGCGTCTTTCACGATATACATACTCTTACTACGCTTGACAGCTTATAAAATGGTTAATAAGACAAAAGTCATGCAGGGTTTTAGGAAAAGGTGCCAGTACCGCGATCCATTTTCGTCTCTAGGTCATGCGGGGAAGAGAAAGATCCGGAGATGATCGGTTACACTTTGCCAGAATTGATCAAATGTTTCTTTTGTCACTATAGCGAATCCGACCAGCCTTGCAGTGTATAGGTCGAATCTTGAGAAATGAGATTAATACGGAGTTGGCACAATAATGGTGAAACTTTTCTCGGGATTTGATTGGCGAACATCCATTACTAAGGCTGGTCCCCGCGAGTCTCGATCATCAGAGCTTAGTCTGAGATCCCAGAGCACATTAGAATACCAAGATGCCGAGCCGGCAGTTAGCGATCCGGCACTTAGAAGCCGAGGCTGAGGCTTTGGAGACACCTCCGATTGATCAAAAGAGGAAATCCCCCGTGGGTCAGTGTTCCTGGTTGAATAGTGTGTGTGGACAAACAATAGAGATGGGATATTCCTCCGATGCAAAGGGTTTGAAGAACGGAAAAAGACCGATGCAGGTGGTTTGGCTTACGCCTCCGTCTTGGAACGGTGGGGTAATTATGAAATTGTGAGAGAGTTGTAGTTTTGTTGAATTACTACAGAAGTGATACTAGTTCTGCTGGTAACTCCTATCCTATATCTCCGAGTCGCATTTACACTATTCTCCTCGCCTGGTCATGCCTTCAAGGTGTTAACCTCGACTTCATCCTAAGGTCACACAAGACTGGAACTTGGAGATGCTGAGAATACAATAGATGACTACTAGGTATAAAGGCAACACTGAAAGTCTCCAAGGTTTTCGGTTATCATTTTCCAAGGTTTCAATGTCCAAGTTTTTCAAATTGACACGATGAGTCGATACATGGGTAATGTTAGCACTGGGTAATACTACTATATATTGCAGCTTGGACCACACTGTTCAGAGACACCTGGGCATATATACTTCCAAGAAGTTTCGTAGTACTCCAGGGCTACTATAAACTACTATTATGTATCCTTCTACGGATATTATACTATTATGTGACCTTCTATGTTTACTCTGATTTTCTTACTATGTGCTGGGAGCTCAGCCAGAGAAGCAGTGGCGATCTAGGGCCGATGATGTGGCGGTGAACGTATGTGGCGGTGCATGATGAGGGGAGTTTGGTGGAATGTGGAATGTGTGGGGTTCGTCCCCCATGCCAGCGACCGGTGATATCATCGGGTGATCGCAACAGCTGCTCCCCCAAAAAAATAAAAAATGCGCCTGATCTTGAGATCGCTGATTTACTCTTCTTCACAACTCTGACCACCGTACTATTTCAAGTTGCTTAGAACTACTACTGTCGATCTTTCTACAACCCTTGCCGCCTCACAGGGTGATCTATCGACCCAGGGCCACGCGCTCAGCCCCCCCTACCTCTCTACGCGCCCATCGCGTTTCATCGGTCGTTTGTTCTTTGTTTGCGATACACCTGCTCCTTTCTTTTCTCGAAACAACCTTGGAATAACTGGAAATACACAAGTCCTGTAACTTCACCATGGCCATGGACTATTTGAAGAATCGCCGCCGCTCCTCCCAGATCATGCAAACTCCAAACCCTGTCCTGACCTCCGAGGATGAAGCCTTCCTGCAACAAGTTACCTCCCAACAGGAACATACACCTGGCTCAGCGGGGCCAAGCGGTGGAAATGCAACGGATTTTGCAGCAGAGAGCCCCGTCCACCCTGGTCTGAAGGAATCTGCCCAGGATGTTCCTCTTCCAGCGTCACCAGCAGAAGAATTTGGAAAGGAGTTGGGAGAAGAGGCCCGCGAGAACCCCGAAACTACCGAGACGAAATCCGAGCCTCCAAAGTCACAAGATTCGAAAACCTCGGACAAGAAAAAAAAAACGTTGGACTGCGATGTTTTGGAAGAAGGATCCTGATTCCAAGAAGGTGCGCATCGATGATAAACGAGTACCTGCGCAACGCTAATGAAAATTTTGCCTAAAGAAGAAGAGTTCTAGTCCCGAAGGTAAAGACAAGTCCGATATACCTACCGCATCGACCTCAGCCTCCAACGGAAACGGACAAGAAGCCTCGAAGGACGAAGAAGACATGAAGGATATACTCGAGCACTTGAACCTGGCAGCAGAGAACAATAAGGTGTTCTCAATGAGCGAAGAGACACAGGAATTACTTCGGAAGTTCAAGTTGATCTTCAAAGATCTTATCAATGGCGTTCCAACGGCCTACCACGATTTGGAAATGCTGTTGACCAACGGGAATCGACAACTTCAAGATACCTATACCAAGCTCCCCGGTCCGATGCAGAAATTGATCGAGAAGCTCCCAGAGAAATGGACGGAGACTTTGGCACCAGAAATGATTGCCGTGGCCGGCGAAAGAGCGTCCAAAAGTGGCGTCAACATGGAGAATGTGGGCAAGGCTGCTGCGGCGGCGGAGAAGATGGGCCTTAGTGTTCCAAGTCTGAAGGAACTTGTCTCCAAACCCGCTGCGATTGTGGGAATGCTTCGGTCGATCATGACCTTCCTGCGAGCTCGTTTCCCGGCTGTATTGGGCATGAATGTTCTTTGGTCGCTGGCACTATTCAGTAAGTGGAGAGAGAAGGACTCAAATTTGAGCTATATGCTAATGATTATCTCCTTCAGTTTTGCTGTTCGTTTTGTGGTATTGCCATAAGCGCGGACGGGAGGTTCGTCTAGAGAACGAACGCTTGGTCACGGAGGAGGAAATCAACCAGCTTAATGAAGACAATCCCGAGGGTAGAATTCGTGCCACAGAGACTTTGACCACGACAGCTCCCCAGGGTGCCTCATCAGAGGAAGTTCGCGAAGGAGTGAAGAAGGCGGAGGAAGCCCGGGCCTCAGCTGCAGACGTACCTTCTGTTTCATCTCCGCAGAGCGGCAACGGTGAGATTGAAAATGTTCGCCCAGCTCCTGTTCCAACTAGGTCGAAGTCTCGATTGTCTATTTTCGGTCGATCTAAGCCGCCCACTGAGCCAAATCCTAATATTTCACCATACCCCGGTACATAATGGATATACCCTCGTCTTGTCACAATAATCGTGGTTGGTTCTCATAGATTGATTTAACTAGGTTGATTACATACGAAATTATATGATGCTTGAATATTACCGTTTATCCTTGTTATTATTAGAAATTGCTACTATAGACCCGGCCATAGAAGGAATAAAGAAGGGCGGCACTGGCAATTCGGAAATCGGCAGTCTTTTATATCCCCTTGAAAGTGATTAGAAGAAACAGATATCAGAATGAGGATAACGGATATTGACTCCAATCGCTTTATTGCCGGTCTACGACTAGGAGCATTCCATTGATCCAGAAGATCACACGTTGCTTAGTAGGCTCAAAACTAGTTCTATCTACCATTGGATGTTGCAACTCGGCCCACTCCGTTCTTCGAGAATTTTTTCTTGCCTCGGAAGGAGCAGGACAGGTGTTCTCCGAAGCGCTCTGCCGGGCTTAAAAATAGGCTAGCGCCGAGCGGATTTCGGCCGCCGATCGACGGTTGATACCATTGGCAAAGGGGAGAATTTTCAGCTCCACCCAGCCACTGCGGGGCGAGAGATGATCTTGCAGGCACCACGAGAGATGGGGGGGGGGGGGGCAAAAGGGAGCATCCTATCCCTTGCAGTAGAATTCGGGGCAGATAGCCGCCCAACTCAACTGTGATGAGCCCAAGCTGACTTTACTTTATCAGCCCGGTCGATCTATCTCATGCAGGTAGGATCCCGCCGTGTTGTCCCCCCTGCTTACCGCTTCTTTCATTCATTTCCCCCTCCCCCCAGAAAAAGAATGAGGTGGAGGGGGTAGAGAGTGAAGAGGGGCGCAGGTGGCCGGGACCAACAGCTTCAGAGCTGTGCCGCGGAATAGACAGTCCCGAGTTGTTGCCACCGAGGAAGAAAAAAACCAAAACGAGAGTCAGATCCAGCCAATCGCAAACACGACAGAGGGCCGAAGGGGTTCGAACTGCCTTCGTGTCAACAATATGATTCATCGTATCGTTATGACTCTGATCTGGCTATGAATCATCATGCACGGGTCAAGGCCAGCCCTGAGCGTTGGGTGCAGGTGCAGGTGCAGGCTTGTACTAGTTAACGACTGTAGCACATGTCAGTCTATTTTGTACTGCAGGTTTTAGCCAACTGGTATAGTGCTGTCTGTATTCACTATTTTTTGTTCCCTGAGTTTCCGTCCATCTGGCGCGGCTCTCTCTTTTTCCATTTCTTTCTTTATTTTTTGGCTGGTCGGACAATTCGGGTCGTGGAACCGTGCTGGACCCGCAGGATTTGCTAATGATGCTTAGGGGGGGGGTTTTAGTTTTTCTCCCCTCTTTTTTTTTTGGCTGTACGAGTAGAATTGAAATAGTGTTGGTCTTTATGATTAGCTTGGAGTATGATAAAGTATATGTACTTATGTACTCGTATTAACTATACTGTAAACAGAGAATAATGACTATATCTAACATAGTATCTATATCTGATATTCCAATCTAACCGTAGTTCTACCAGTACAAGTGTACTACTAAGTACTCCGGTCTTCTGTAGTCCTCTATGTAATGCTACTGCTTGCATCTGCCATGATGTGATTGGACCAAGAAAATGCGGTGAGTAACGCGGGCGAATGACGGACGGGCAGAAAGGCCCCACTTGCGGTTTGGCGGGAAAAATCGACATCCCTTCTAAAAGTGAGAGAGAGAGAGAAGACTCCCTCTTCCCTCCGCATACCAACCACTCTACACTACTCTACCACTTTCAACTTTACCCCCCCAATCTTTACCCTTCACCTCCAAACACCCTACTTTGATACCGTCGAGAATTCCAAATGGCTTCCGTGCAGCTGTAATTCCCTCGCTGGGGAACCCTCCCTTGGTTCCCCAGTCCTACAGCTCCGATCCTTCAATTCCACTTGACGATATCGTTTCCTCTTTCAACGCCCGCTGTGAAGCGTTGGAATTGCCCCCAAGTACACTCCCAGAAGAAGCACTTTGACGTCCAAGTTGGACCGGAGGTGTTTTCGTGGTTACGAATATTCACCATCAACCTCCCGGCCCTCTCCCTCACCGATCCCTCACCCTCACCTTCACCTCCCTCTCTTCATCCGCCCTTGACGAACTCCTTTCTCTCTCTCTCCTCAATCATTCCGTGGTAAATTCCACTGTCGACATATTTCATCCTCTTCATCTCATACCCTCCAAATTCCTAATCCCTCGCGGAGAAACCGAAGGAAGAAAAATTTACGACATCCCACCTTCACTCCAAAGATTTAAATGCCACAACGAAGTCACTATTCCTCCAAACAGACTCACCAGACATCTGCAAAGACTAGCAACGCTCGCCCCGCAACCCCCGAATCTAACATCATGCGACACCTGGACATCACACCCAAGGCTTTGGCCCAGTCCAAAAAGTCAGCAAACAGCCGATCTGGCGGACCTGGCTCGTCGGACCGAAAACGCCGGGCATCCTCCTCATCTGTCTCCAGCGTCTCCAGCGTCTCCTCTCTCGAGGATTTGAGCGAGGAGGCAGACGAATCCGAAGACGATGCGGATGATGAGGAGGACAGGCCGTTGGCCCTATCTTATGGCCGCCGTCACCCAACCACTTCCCGTAAGACGGGGCGTCAACCCGCAAAAAAAGAAGCGCAGACGAGCTTCCGATGACGAATATGATTTCGGAAGTGATGGCAGTGACTCCATCGATAGCTCCGACGATATTTACGCCGGCGTAGACTACATTAGCGATGGCGACGACGAACAAGACATGGAGAAACTAGAGGAGATGATGATTTTGGATGAATCTGAACACCGCATTCTGCCACCATCCGAAACCAATGATAGCCAGTGGCACAGCAGCGAGGTATTCGGAGACTCTATGCTTCTCCCAGCTGCCTCATTCTTCGACGAGGAGCAGCTCTACACAGCCATGGACATCTTTGGAGAGACCGACATGGCCAGCGAAGCCGTGGAAACACCAGTCGCTAGGCGTGTGCACTTCGAGGAGCGATCGGATTCCTCCTCCGACAGCGAGTCGCACACCGACGATGAGATCCCGGGCGACTTTCTTCAGCAGGATTCCCTGGATCCCCAGTTGCGCCGGATGATCGAGAACGACCATGAACATCACCGTAGCCATCGCCGACAGTCTGAAGAGATGTATGGTGATGCTGACTATGGCCATGGCAGCATTTACCACGTCGAGTCCGAAGGAACATCTGAGGGTAGCCTCAGCGGTTACGAGAGTACGCTAGTTGAACGCCTATCTACTTTGCTAATTACATGCTAATTCCCTTTTCCAGCCGACGATGGAGATACTACCGACGAGGACTTGCCCCCGCCAGCAACCATCACCCACCCCCGATCCCTACTCCGGCGCGACTCAACTGACTCGTTGACCGTCACCGGGGATGACAAGCCCGACAGCATTCCCCGTCGCCGAGGCCCCATTATGGGAACTTTCGTGGCTGATCCTCACAAACCCGTTGCCTTGGTCGACTGCACCGGCAAGCACCTTGTCATCATCCCTGCCTATGCCTCTTCACGTCACGACTGGCTTGAGTCCGCTGCGAATAGTGTTCCCGGAACTGCCAATAATAGCCCTCGCCAGACCACTCTGCATTTGGTTGATGAGAGCGATACCGATGCCATGACCTCTCCGAACCAGACAGGCTTCAGCCCCATGCTTGCTTCCAGCGCGAACCTGATGATGACCGCTCTTGGAAATGACCTTACTCCTGGCGGCCAAGTCATGGGCCCCCCCGAGGCCTTCTATCCATCACAAGAATTTACCGTCGACAGCTCTTTCGAGGATGACGACGAGGATGATCCCGAGTCTGCCCTTAATGTTGACGATTTCATCGACTTCGGCGATGGTTCTTCTGATGAGGACGAAGAAGAAGACCAAGAGCAGGATATGGGCAAGGCTTTCGATGATGATACTCTCATTTCCCCAATGGCCAACGGATCTACAATGCAGCCCATGGGCACACCAACGCCAACCCGCAAGAACTCTGAACAGCACGACAGCAATGCGGAGCGTTTCCTGAACCACCTGGACAAGGGTATTGTTACTGCATTCCGTCGCAACCACAACCGCTATCAGGCCCTTCTCCGTCTGCCTCAGCATCGTGAATTTATGCCTGCCAACTCTCCCGCCCGGCCTGCCAGTGTCTTTAGACACGCTAAGGCCACCGACCAGCGTACCCAACTAGAAAGCGCAAGTCTAGCGGTTACGCTGGCGGCGAAGCCGTGCGACGCAAGCTTATGGATGCCCAGCGCCGCACTCAATCCCAAGTTCCTCTCTAAGAAGCTTGCATCCTGACATAGTTGATCCGAACACACTGTTGTTAGTGTTGTACTGGACAACCCTCCCACCCCCGGCTGGACAACCCAGCACCTGATGAATCACGAAGTTTCGATTTAAAATAAGAACGCATGATACACACGGACGCCGTTCAATTGTTTCGAGTCTCTGGTAGACTTGGCTCATGGGCCGCAGCCGATATTCCCCCGAGGCGCTAGCCAATGCCCTCATCTCTCAGCCAACCTGTATCTATCTTTCTGTGGTTGGAGATGGGAAATTCCATCTGCTGCGCACCCCGCATTCTATGTCTTCAAAAGTTGATCGATGTTGGCTCTGATGACCCAAAAAGTTGATCGATTGTTGTTCCATGCATTGGATGTTTATGCTGCCAACTTTCTTTCCTTTACCTTTACTTTCTCCCCTTGTCTTTTTTTTGCCATGTTCTCCCCAGCTGCACCCGGGAGAGGGTGATACCTCTTGTCTTTCTACGGCGTTTTCTTGATCTTTTTCTACGATGAGTGATGGATGTGCTGTGACCATTCAAATTAGTTGTCAATCTCAACAACATTTCAAACTTAATTTTTTCCCTGAATAGTAGATACCCCGCGACTAGTATTTGCCATGTCAATAGTGTATGTTAGTGTGTGCCTCCATACTTTGTTCATCCAAGCTCGGTGTTCTCCCCCGCCGAGCCAGGAGGAGGCTATGCAAAGGGCGTGGCGTAGGGCTACCCTTGTCGTTGATGGGGATGTACTCCGTACTATTTCCTTGTCCCGATGTCTTTGACAGTCCGTCTCAGTGGAGCTAGCAGTAGCTGTCTACTTCGGAGAGTATCACATAAAGAGCAATTGGGTGTCCACATTGGAATTCTGGAGGCAGCCAATGCAAGTCAAGGTTCTTGGCACCGACGACTTCACAGCCTTCAATCCTTCCATTCTCCACACAAGCTTCCCCAAGACGGGCCAAGTCTGCCGTATGATGCGCTTGACTATGGTGATACACTTGTGGTCTCAGAAAGCTAGGGCCAAGTGGCCCAATGCCCGGAAACAGAAGACCTTGACCCAGATAGATAGATAGACCCTATGAAAATAAGACAACTAGTAATAACCTTTTGCTTCATGTGCTACCCTGGCAGCAGGAGACAGGTCGAGAGGAATACATCAATTCCAGACTTGAAGTGCAGACATGATGAAACAGGGCAATTAGTCTTCTTACATAAAAAGATATGCACTGGCTAGCCCTAAGCCGAACAAGGCCGCTCCTGAAACGGGTTCTCAGAACTTCGTAAGCCACATCGCTGCAGGGTTACGAACAATGCAACCTTGTGTGCAGAGTGGAACGACTCATCTATGTAGAGGCATTGAAAAAGGGAAAAAATAAAAATAAAATATAGTGCACCGGATAGGTTTGCGAGGCTTTGCATGATTTCTTTCAAGGCTGGCGGTTCGACGTCAGGTCCATGTGGTCGCCCCATTCGCCGATATTTTTAGACGCTTGGGTTTCTGCAAAGGCATCATGAAACACCACCAGGGGGGGGTCAAAGAACTCTCCTCACAGGGCCCTTGAAGATTCCAGTCAAGCAGTGCAGCCCAAGAAGAAAAAGTTCAATCAATTCATACGAAACAGATTGTCTTTCCTGGGGAGTATGTGTACAAAGTCTGTACACAGAGTAGTACATATTTCGTACTCGGGAGGGAGCATTACGGCCGAATGACCCTGGTACCCGTGGACCTGACTATTTTTTCTTTCACCTGCTCCTCCAGGATCTAGATCCTGGTTTAGTGGGGAGGCTCGGCAGTGACGGAAGGGACAGACAGAACGGACTAGGAGGCTGGAGATGGATAACATCGGTTAACAGAATAGACCCTATAGACCCTATACCCCGAGCCTAGTGGTGAACTAGATGACTAGACTAGCCATTCACCGTAAGGTGTCTGCTCTTGTAGTTTCCATTCGACGGAGTTTCTGGACCGTCCGAGGCTTGACAGGTTTGCTCTTGGCTCAAATCAAGCCCAGACAAGACAAGACCTCCGTCCAGGTACCGACGCCACAGGGGAACGAGACAAGCGAAAGCTCCAGGTTGAGCGCCACAACCCCCTGGGTCGGGATTTACCCCTGAAAAAGCAAAGCAAGCAATGGATTCTAGTCAACGGTGGAAAAGGTTTGCTTCAATACTCCAAAATCGAAGTATTGTTGCAGACTGAAGGTCGCTGCCTGGTCAGGTTAGGTTGCTTTTGGCGCGTGGTGAATAAATCACGGCGCGATGGGCGCTGGTTGGACAATTGGAATGTTGCCCGGCGTTTAGCTCCACTGCTGTGCTCGTACTACCATCTGTACAGGGCTCCAATGCGATCAGCGAGATCGCTGATCACTGACTGAATGGTGTTAACCATAAAGCACGGGGCGGTCGGCAGTCACGTTCAGCTGGGGGTTTTTGTGCTGTCAAAAATCCGAAAGGGCCAGCCTGATGTGGTTTGATACTGACCACTCTCCATCCAGAGAACTCCCAGAGACTGCCAGGGCGCCACGCCGGCGCCAAACTGGGTTTCTGCACCCCAGTTGTTTTTTGGGGATATTATTATTTATTATTTATTATTTATTTTCCCGCTCAGTCTGCAGTTCCCGCCTGCAGGGACAGCCGTTTGAAGGGTTTCCCTTACCGGTCGCAATCTGCAGTGATGGAACTTGGGGATACGAGAAGCTGTGTCCTCCGTGCTGAGAGTCTGTGACCCACACAGGTGGGGAGTCAGACTTGCAGGGAACAACTGATGTATCCCGTTCATCCTGCTGCTGCTGCTGCTGCTGCTGCTGCTGCTGCTGCTCATGCAAACGCTGTCGATCCGGCGGCTTTCAGCATTGTCGTAACCTATTCTCAGACCAGCCACCAATGATGGGGGCTATTTTTGACCCTCGCACATCATGTTCATTGGCCCATTCCATTTCTCCATCCTCCTCTTTTAGTTAACGGATCGCGCCGGAGGATGTCCTATTCTCAGTGGAGGTGTCAATAGAGCGGACCCCTTGGCTGCAGTGACTCCAGTTGACTCCAGTATGTTCCTGCACTAGCCAGTCTCCTCTCACCCCTGCACCGTGCTGGGCGCCATCCCGTTTCATATGGTCGGCCAGCTCTATGCCGATTGGAAGAGGCGACGGATCCTCTGACAAGATGTCTTACCACTCGCTCGTCACAATGCCAGAAAGAACAAGCCGGGTCTGGGTTCAAAGGACCCTTGGCGGCTGTACGGAGTAGTAGTTCTGCTCGTGGTCGTGCAGTTTAAAGAAGGCTTCGCCCACCAGCTTTGCTCAGGATTGTATTGTGTTCAAGGCCCCGGTCCATTGTTTGTGTTTTGTCCTGGTTTGGACCCTCTTTTTTCTTTTCTTTTCTTTCTTACAGTATTTCTATTCTCTCTAGTTCTGTCTATTGGCACTACTATTCACTATCAAACCTCAACCGCCCAAGGGAGCCTCTTCCCTTCCCTTCGTTGTTCAACTTCACTCGCTGCCTATTCTGGCTTGTTGACATTCACTTGTTACTGTCGACTCTTTACTTGGACTCTCTGTCTATATCTTTCTCTCTCTCTCTCTCTCTCTCACGCAATCGTCTCTTCTCTTCTTCCAACACTTCCATTCGTTGACTGCCCCTCATCATGAAGGGTGCTACTTCTTTCGTCTTTGCGACGCTTCTGGCTGCCACCCAGGCCACTTCCGGGGTATGTCCAAAAGTTCCCAAATAAATGTGGCTCTCGAGTGTTTTGCTAATATCAACACCCCTCTCTCTAGTACTGGGGCTCCGAGAAATGCTACTCCAGCCCAGGCCGTTCCCCCAACCAGTGTAACGAGCATCAGCAGAACGGCTTCGACTGGTCGGGCCTGGCTGATGGATCGTTCTCGCAATATGGTGGCTTCGACTTCTCTGGCTTTTCTTGCAGCAATAGCTTTGGTGGAGCTGGTCTCGCCAAGCGTGGTGTATGTTGTGACTTATAGTTGCCATGGGAGACATTGTAACTTTTATGCTGACATCTTCATTGCAGGAAAAATGCATTACCGGTACTGCCTCCAAGGGTAGCGGATCTAGCAGCAGCTCCAGCAGCGGCTCTCTAGGTGGCTCTTACGGTAGCTCTTACGGTAGCTCTTACGGTAGCAGCTCCAGCAGTTCGAGTGGTGGTAGCTCGTCTGGCCCATCGTTCTCTTGCGGTTCCGGCTCCGGCTCCAGCTCCAGCTCCGATGAGAATGCCTTCTCCGTCACTCATTTCCACATCTCCACCTCCGAAGAGACCGACTTGCACATCATCTACGGAATGCCGGACGGCTCTTCCTGCCGCAACACTGCTTCTTGCTCGTCTTCTGGAACCACCATCGAGAACGACCAATGTGGTGGCGCAACTTCAGTCTCTTTCGAACTGCCTGACGACAGTGAGCACGATAGCTGTGATTTCGGCATCTACACAATTGGCTTCGATTGTACCCCCGGTAACACCGCGACAACTTTGCCTACTGGCCCTGCCACTACTCCCGCGGCATCTGTTCCTGGCATCTCGTCTCCTACGGCCTCCGTCCCGAGTGGAAGCACTGTGGTGTCAATCCCTGGAAAGCCTGGCCTCTCGGTTCCTGCCAGCTCTCCTGTGTCGGTTCCCACGGGCTCTGTTCCCTCTTCGGCAGCTGGTGTCTCTACTCCTGTTGTGGTTGGTACTACTACTCCCGCTGCTGGCACACCGGGCAAGTTCACCACATCGACCGTCTACACTACTAGCGAGATCACCATTACTAGCTGTGCTGCTACGGTGACTGACTGCCCTGCCGACTCTACTACTGTCGTGACCTCCACGATCCCAGCTTACACCACCGTCTGCCCCGTCACTGAGACCACCGGTGCTGGAACTCCTCCGACCGAGTCCTCTCCCGCCGATACTCCTCCAGCTGCTACCTCGCCTGCCGAGTCAACCCCAGCTGTCCCCAGCGGAAGCTCGCCGGTCACCCAACCTGCACCCCCTGCCGGTACTTCAACTCCCTCTTCTCCTGCTGGCGGCTCTTCAGTTCCTCCTGATTCGACTGTCACCGTCATCACATACACCACTGTTACCACCTGCCCTGTGACTAGCACGATCTCTACTGCCGGTTCATCTATTGTCAGCACTGGCACCACCGTCTCTACAGTCACTCTGACTTCCACCTCTACTATCTGTACCAAGTGCACCGGTGCGACAACCGCCCCCGGCTTGCCCCAGAGCACCCCTCTTGTTCCCGGTTCTACTGAGACTGCTCCGGCCGGTAGTGAAACCACCCCAGCTGTCACTGTTGTCACTTCGGCTACTCCCGGCCCCTCTAGTGTTGATGCTGGCTCAACCCCTGGCGTGCCTGAAGACTCCACAACTACGGTCGTGACTTATACTACAGTTACTACTTGCCCGGTGACTAGCACCATCACTACTGGAGGATCCTCTGTCGTGACCACTGGCACTACCGTCTCTACAGTGACTCTGACCTCGACCTCGACCATTTGCACCAAGTGCACTGGATCCACCACAGTCCCTACTGTTCCCGGTGCTACTGAGACCGATACTGAGACCGCTCCAGCTGTCACTGCTGTTACATCCGAGACACCTGGTCCTTCCAGCGTTGACGCCGGCTCTACTCCTGCTGTTCCCGAGGACTCTACGACCACCGTGGTGACCTACACTACTGTCACGACCTGCCCCGTCACCAGCACGATCACCACCGGTGGCTCCTCCGTTGTTTCTACCGGTAGCACCGTGTCCACGGTGACTTTGACCTCCACCTCCACCGTCTGCACCAAGTGTTCTGCCAGTGCTACTGCTGGAGAGACTGGCTCTGCTCCTTCTGGAAGCTCCCCCGTCTCTGGCTCGACTCCAGCTCCTTCTTCTCCTTGCCCCAACACTGTACCCCAGTGTATCAACACCTGGCTCACTCTGGCTCCCAAATGTACTTCCAACAGTGATGCTTCTTGCTTCTGCCCCAAGAAGGAATTCACCAACAAGGTTATCTCTTGTATCCAGGCCTGGGGAGGATCCAAGGCGGAGATTTCCTCTGCTCTGTCCTACTTCACCGGTATTTGCGCTCAGTGGGTTGACAAGAACCCTGGTATTGTGACCGCCATTCCCTCAACAATCACCTTGGCTCCTCATGTTTCAGCCCCTGCTGCTACCGCTACCAGCGGCGCTGACGCTATTGGGGGCACTGCGGCCTCGAGCGCGGTTACCTCTGCTCCTTCGCTCCCTTGCACAACCATCACCTACGGCACTCACACTGTTACCGTCCCTCAAGTGACCTTCATCACCAACACTAATACCGTTGCTGGAGCCACTCAGACCGTCGGCCTTGTGCCGGCCGGTCCTAGCGGTGCTTCTCCCGTTAACACTGGAAAGGTTCCCGCCCCTGCTGCTGCTTCATCCACCTTGAGCAGTGCCTTCAAACAGCCCACTGCCAGCGCAGTCCCCTCTGCCAGTTCTACTCCAGTCTTCAACTCGGCTACAAGCATCTCGATCGCCTCTAGTCTCCTGATGGGATCCCTCGCTGCTTTCCTGGGCCTCCTCCTCTAGACACCTCAATCTGTGACTCTGATTTCCCAGCCATTTGCGCTGCGGCTCCTGTGACTTTCTACACTCTATTTCTGTTCAAGATTTCTTCCCTGTCAAGTGCCCAGAGCGCGTTTCCTATTTCAATTCTCATGTTTTCCTTCACGCTCGTGTTGTTCGGTAACAGCGGGCACGATACACGATTCAAGCCGTGAACGGACTGGTTTAATGCCCCCACGAGGTATTTTGATTTGTACTGTAATATTCACTCCCTAATCGCATGCGATAGACCTCGTGAATCTTGTTCTTGTTTTAGCCGGTAAATTAAAATTAAAATTTCAGGTAAATCTTTCCATGTACTAGGTAGTTGAACGTATTCGTAACGCCAAGTCTAGATTATCTTATTCTAGGCCCAGTTCAGACTTCCAAAACGATGCAGTCATCTTCGTGAGTTTCCCCAGCATAGAAATCTTCGGTTGGTCTCTCCATCGATCTGCGAGACGCTCGATCTTGCGGTTACAATTTGCGGATGCAGATATCGCAAACACGCGTGTGATGAAAACTAATTCATCGCTGGTGTCTAGACCATGAATCGAATCGCGCTCGATGATAGGGATTAAAGTCCTTTGACAAGCGATGTTAGTGTTACCGTCTGGTTTGAGAGCTTGTGGCTTGATAGAAGAACTCTTTGACGAGCAAGAAGCGGCTAGCTGGCTCGAAAGACCACTAGCACCAGCCGATGAAAGAATCAACACAGATTCTGCATCTTCAAGTAAACCCTCTGCCCCAATATGCACATCTTCTCCCACGGAATTGATAATGGGCAACTTTGCGCCGTCTTTCAATCGTCGGCCTGGAGAGGCAAATCCACCTTCGACCGTATGCAATGTGCGTAGGGGAGAGTTGACACGAACACGGTGAATTCGAACATGCCAGTCGGGCCATCTATCTGTGGGTGGAATGAGTGTTGTTTTTACCTCGACTTGTTTGTCTCCCCAGGGGAACCACCTGGCCGATGCAGCAGAGATGGGCTGCAGCCCGGTGGCTGTTCGTAACTGAAGGGTTGGGAATTCTGGCTCAGAACATTTCCACTTCACAGCCCATGTCTCAGCTCCATCTCTGCTTAGAGCCAATGTACAGTCTGGCGCGATTTGTTGGATTAGAGGACCGGTTGGAACCGAGAAAGCAAAGGCCGAAGAGTATTCGAATTTGGAATACTTCGCCTGTGTTGCCTTCATTGGCCATGCAACGAATTGAGCAGGAGACAAGCAAAAATGATGATTCCCCGCTGGGTGATTACTGAGTATTTGTTTTGGCGCAGGCGAAAGTTGAGGCTGGAAGAAAGATGGATAAGGCTCTTCCTTTGCAGACCAAAACTCGCTGTCTTTCGCAAGAGAGACTGCGATTAGAGTCTTCAAGCACCAGTAGGGAGATTGGGGTGAGTTGTAGTCTTCGCTCATGTACATGTTTCTATCGATATGATCAGTCTCTTGCAACTTTCGGGCACCTCCAACGTCGAATTGGAGCTACTTACGGATATAGCCACCCGATACTCAATGTTCCATCGGGGTAGAAAATGTCACTCGAATGATCGGCCCACCATCGCAGGTGGCGCAAGAGAAACCCCTTAACTTGACCCGGGGTTGATAGTGGCCATGGCATATCCGGAACGGGGCTAACTGCCAGTGCAGCGAAAAATGCGCCGCATGAGAAGCGATATGTTAGAGATCGACCAAATGGGATGGCCGATCCTAGATAAATTAGCGATAGAATCGGCAAGTAGTTATATTAGGGGAATCAACATACCGCCGGCATCAAAATACCTCCAGAACGACGCTCCGAAGTCGCGTGCTTGTTGTCTATATCGAGAAACCCGATCGGGATCGATATCTTCTGCATATTTGGCGAAAAGCAATTGGCTAAACTGAATCGCGAAGCTGCCGGAATAGTAGTCAACCTGGCGACCTTTGCCGATCGCATCACGACGTCCCGATCGTTGAAATTCCAATTCCTGTTCGTTTTCTTCCTGTGTAGACAGCCAAGGACCATCGCCCGACCATCCATCCTCAAGATAGAAAGAATCGAGCACGGCAAGGTCCGCCTTGAGCTCTTCAGTCACTTGGCTGGCTGGAACTCCACACACTTTGATCAGTGCAAGGTTGGAGAATACACGGAACCATCGCCAGTTGTTTGGTGGCATCTTCTTTCCATTCATTCCACTAAGCCATGCTGTGATGTTTTGTTGTGTCTTCTGGTCGCGCTCGTGGAACAGCTTCTCTGGTTCGGCTAACAAAGCAAAGCTTACAACTTCAGCCTCAACCATCCGCTGGTCCATATCATCGATTGGTCCCCAGTACTCTGGGCTTTCGGGGTCTGTGGCCGCTGAGAACCCCGAAATCCATGGATTGGTCACTTCATGGATTTCTTCTGCCAAGGCAGCATCGATCGGATCCGCAATGGAGGATGCAAATTGGAGCAATGTCGCGACGGCCCACAATGGTCGGACGAAGCCTTCGACCTGGGCGGCAGTTTCATCGAAATGAACGCCCGTTGAGATTGGTAGACGGATGCGGCCCTTGTTCACCGAGAAGTAGGGCGTGAGCGGACGCAGCAAGGCAAGGGCTGCGGTGGCCACATCCTCCCTGGTGCGAAAAGCATTGTCTGTGAAGCCTGTCAATCGAGGCATTGTAATTGTTTCGTCGAATATGAGGATAGAGAGCTTCCGATCCTGATTGTTATTTTACCCCTCCAAGCAAATCATTCCACCGAGCCTTCGGGGCTCGGGGGAAGTCTCGGGCATCGGGCGAGGTATCGGCCGCCAGCACTAACGGATTTCGGGGCATCCAATCGGTTGCGATGGGAAGGTAACATTGACGAAAAATTATATAGACATGGTCTCGCAGATTTCTGAAAGGTAATACACACGCCCATTGTTTCATTTCATTCTTGCTTTCCACTATGACTGTCTGCGATCTCGTGGACCGTTTCAGTGACAGTTCGGACTCGAAAAGCCCCGAAATGACCGAAGTCCACAGTTTCACGTCCAACGAGGATGATGTTTTCAGCAAATCACAGCTATCTAGAGATGATATGTCACAAGCTCTTGATATTCGATTGCGTGAACTTTATAGTGAGAATATTACGGCGAAGATTCTTCGGGCAGCTGACACCTGTCTCGAAAACAACGTAAGATAGCCACATCCTTCATCTTGATTTTTCAAATATTGGCTTTATTGACAATTCCCCAGAATCCCATAACTGCCTATCCAGAATACGTCCCACAGTCTGGTCCAGATGCTGGAAAGTATTATTGCCGCGAAGCAGATTTTTGGACATGCGGCTTTTTCCCGGGCTCGATCTATTCTCTCATTGAGCGCATGATCAAGTTTCCACAGTCAACGGGCATCAAGCATAGCAGTTCTTCTGTTTTGAAGGAGTTGCAGCAACTGGGTGAGATCTGGTCCGAGCCGATTCACGACATGAGTCTCCGTACCGATACCCACGACATGTCGTTCATTATCCAGCCTTCAATGCGACCCCGTTGGGAACTCTTCCATGACGAGCGCGCTCTTTCAACCATAGTGACAGCCGCTGAAAGCCTCTATACGCGGTACAATTCGAAAGTGGGCGCCTTCCGCTCATGGGACCAGCTGACGCAAAAGGGTGTCAATATCACATCCATGGATCAAGACTTTCTGGTGATCATCGACTCAATGTGTAACCTTGATCTCCTCTACTATGCAGCAGCGCATACTGGGAATAAAAGTATGTCCTCTGCGGCGACTACACATGCTCATAAGCTCCTGCGAGCCCATCTTCGCCATGAGACTGGCACATATTCACACCGTGAAGGGTATGACGGTCCTCTATTCAGCACAGTCCACGTTACCAACTTCGATCCGAAGACTGGTGACTTCAAAGAGGCCCGCACGGGTCAGGGATATGCGAAAGATTCGACATGGGCTCGCGGCCAAGCATGGGGTATCCTCGGCTATGCACAGACATTCCAGTGGACGGGCCATAAGGAATTCCTCACAGCTGCGTGTGGGCTAGCCGAGTACTTTCTTCTCCGTTTAGACAGATCCCCGAGCTGTGTCGAGCGGAAGGTCAAAATTGATGATGCGGGTTACAACGATTCCTCGTCAAGCCGTACTTGTGGACGCTTCGTTCCCCTGTGGGACTGGGATGCCCCTATTGACGAGACAAATCCGCTTCGCGATTCGTCCGCTGGAGCGATCGCCGCAAATGGAATGCTTGTATTGGCACAGAGTCTTATTGCCCGAGGTGAGTATGCACAGGGCCGTCGCTATCTTGACGCTGCGCTGGTACTGGTCGAAGATGCTTTGGCCTTTTCTCTAGCTGAGAAGGCAACGATCACAGTCCAGGATGGTCAAGTATCAGTGAAGGATGCCCAGCCAAATGCCACATTTGACAGCATTTTAAAAAATGCGACTGCAAACTACAATGCACTCGATCATCGCCGCTATTGGGATCATGGACTGGTATATGGGGATTATTATCTGATCGAGTTTGGAAATCGATTGCTTCGCATGGGGCTTCTTTGAGTTGCAACTCTACATATATCATACTAGTATTTGCCATGATAGACTTCCGGTCGTTTGCAATGAATAAATTTGAAACTTCATCTCACATCCATGGATATATGATACTAATAGTAGGGATAGTATGTAACTGTTGAAGCATTGAGTACTAGTAGTTATATTGACTAGAATTACATCCGGGCATTCACCCCTGACAAGTGATCTTCCGTTCCTGCATTCACGGATGCCATAGTATTAGTGAACATCATGTCGTCCAAACTTATAACGCGATCCATATCCATAAATTGCTGATCAAGGAGGAGATAAGATATATTCGAGAGTTCATCCGCTTGGTTATGACCATTGACTGGATAGTTCAAGTTCCTCATGGCTTGATCAAGTTGTGCATTTGCATGCTGAGGAGCAACAAAGTCATCGGTATGAGACCATTGTGTTCCAGAGTGAGGCATCCCTGTATCGACTTCTTGAGTGAAACTAGGGCGAGGGACGCTCTGCGGTGAATTTCCTGCGTACTGTTGATGTTGCTGAGCCAACGGGGAACGATTAGATATCACAGAACCGGTACTAGATGGGGCATGGTGATTTGAAATAACTGTCGAGTATCCTAGTACATCCACGTTAAATTTTGGAGCAGCTAGACAGCGTCGATGAAGATCACGGAGATGATCTGCGTAGGTGCTAGCCAGACACCGATTTTGTGATGAAGCCAGAGAAGTAGATCCGCGCCACCTCCTAGCCATCTCTTCAAGACTATCAACTAGATACCAGAGCTCTTGCGTAAGCTCGGTGTTATAGTAGCGCCAGTGAACTACAGTAATTTATTAGTCTCTTAACTTTACCAACTATCTGCTGAACTTCAAAAAAGGGATGTTCTTACCTAGCAGAACACGGGCCGCGACAAATACGCAGAAGACGAATTGGTTAGACACTGGATGGATTATTGGAGTATTGTCCAAATATTTGGCCGTCATATTCTGTATCTCAATTGCGGCATTTTGGCATGTCTCAGCACTGCATACACTTGGAAGTCGAACAATATTCGCCCACTCCGCAGGTGGATATCCTATGCGCTGGTGTAGAAGAATCATTGATGTGTTGTGAGTGACGTGAGCAAGCGTAAGATTTGGATCCATGTTAACCAATGTTGGTTGGCGCGAGATATTTGAATCCCTCCATTTCTGGGGAAGAAACATCTTCCAACTGAAACGGACGTTAGCGTTCTTCAAGACGCGACAGATGTGTTTTCTTACTGTACAAGGCGGAGGTCCAACTCTTTGAACCGGGTTAGCCAGCTGCTAACCTCACGTCGGTCATGAAAGTTGATTTTCTGCTGGAGAAAGAATGTTGTGACTCGACTTAGGGATTCCGTTGCCTCTACACAATAGGCAAATGCCCCCACAGTTGACATGTCTGGTTGTGTTGTGCCAGGGGACGCCAATTGTGGGGATCCATATTGTGCCGGAGAGTCGGTTGGCGACTCGGGGCTCTTCGGAATACTCGTGTACTGAGCTGGTAGAAAAGCGATTGAATTTCCGATTCGGGCTTCTGATCGATCCCAGATTCCAAAGAATGGCGTCGTCACTTGTTCTTCCCGATGCCAAAGCCCCCCCGTCTGCGGGTAGTCTTCGATGGACATCATCTGCAGTAAGACTCGTGTTCCAACTGTTTAAAAGAAATGTTAGATCTGTTGAAACATCCCGTTCCAATTGATCGCAATTACTGGGAGATGAATGCAAGCATACCCCGTTGCGACCGAACAAAATCGGTCTAAATTAAATATATTCCAGAACACTCGCCTCCTCTCCTCTTCCTCTACCCACTTACGCGAAGGTGGGAGAGAAAGTAAAGGTTTGAGTAGCCTTTGGTTATCATGATCTTCGTCTTCCACGCTGAGTCGCAGGTATTCCACAGTTCTCGTCAGAGATCCGACAATTGACCACGCTCGAGAGGTATTTCCATTTCCGATCTTGAAATGATTAATGGTCCTGATGCGAACTCTTCGGGGAGGTCAAACTTACATCATCGAAAGCAATGATGATCAAAGCCTGTAGATTCTCAACTGAAAGACTATCCATCGCTGTCAATACAACGATACTCCTCGACCTTCTGGCCCTTGACTCTGCGTCCACTTGAGATGCATTGCTACTACTGGAGCATTTGAACCGGATAGCTGCCACCAAGATCGCGTGAAGAATGACAACCAAAGATCCTCTTTGATCTGGATCATGCATTCGCCGTCGAAATCGAGTTTCGTGGATAATGGGGATCCAAGGATGAACTCTCTCAAAGTATGTATCCACAATTTCTTCAAGTACTTCCGGTGCAGGCAGACTTGAGGTAGCCTCCAGATCCTCCAAGGGCAGTTGTAGTTCGATATTTGGATTGCCACAAGTATCAACTCTTCGCCTCTTCCGGGGCTGGTGTGTAACTGGCGAATCCAATGAACCATCGCGTTCGGAACCTGGCGAGTGCTGATAGATCCGCTCGGAGGTTGAGTCGTTTGTTGCGCGAGTGTTTCGGCTGTTGAATTTGCACAGTTCCAGACACACTGTAGAGAGCAGGTTCACCACCCCATCTAAACGACCATTATCGGGACTCGATGGTTGATGTCCACCACCTAGAGAGCCACTTTCTCGTGCCTGAACCTCTCTAAGCGTATCCTCCAGTACCTCTAAAAAGCACATTAATTGGTATCATCCCCCGGATAACGCCCAGTAAGCCAGATAAACATACCGATTCGACGACTCAAGCCCTCAACCGCGCCGGTTTTCAATCCCGGCTTGCTCCTCTTGGTGTCATAAACACATGGAGATTCCAATCGGTTACATTGGGAGCATGTCGGGGATTCCCTGGAGCATTTCAACTTGCGCCGCCGACAGCCTTGGCACGATGGTCGCTCTTGATCAGCTCCGGTGGTACTGGTCTCCTCGGTCGCTTTAGTCGGGTCCATCAAGCCGATATGTCGGGCTATTTCCCGGGCAATGATGCATCAATTTTCTATCACACGAAGGGGTGGTGAGCAAAAAACGAAAGAAGGCCATCTTTCGCAAGATCGGCGTTTGCATGATCCCCGAAAGATGAGGATTGATTGGAGGGAGAAGTATGGGGTACACAAAGTGGAAGTGCGGGGGAGCTCCTCCGGGCTCGGCGTAGCTCCTCCCGAGACTCGCCCCGACCCCCGCCGGGCGTTTACCTATCATGGAAATCTACAAAGTATCTGTCTAATCGTAGTCGTACGAACGGCTCAAATGACCTTGACGGATGTCATATGCTAACTAGTTACTGCTAACAAACTGCTATGTCCATAATATGAGGTCATCAAACGCGTTCCACCTGCTCCACCGCCGATTTAGTATCTCTCGCCATAGCCACAGCATTCTCCGCGTTGACATCGAGTCCCAATTGTTTCATGGCATTCGTTCCAGAGAGGGCGTTGGGTCCATCGAAAATCTCAGCAACCTCTTCCAGACCACGATTCTTCGTCTCGGGGAAGAAGAAGAATATCAAAGTGAAATTCAAAGCAATCATCACCACCCACACAATGTAGTACCGCCATGATATGGCCTCCATCGCGACAGGATTCGCGAAGCTGTTATAGAGACCGGCCAAGTTTCCTGTCAGCTGGTAAAGCATGGCGGCTTTCGAACGCAAGGAGTAGGGAACCACTTCCATGATATATGTGGGCGCGACTGGGGAACAAGCGTGGTAAAGTGCTTGGTAGATGAAAATCATTGCCAAAACCGCACCGGCGTAGCTGTGGTCCTTGAAGCCCTTTTTCTCATTAATGGCCGAGCAGATCGTCCAAATGATATAAGAAATCCCCATGCCGCCCATGCCGAACAAAAAGAGGCCTCGGCGACCGGCACGATCGACGAGCGTTGCGAAGAAACAAGCAGAAACCAAACTCCAGATAGACATGCAGCCATTGAGGGTGAGCTGGGTCTTAGAATCCGTAATTCCGATTGACTTAAGCACCTCTGGAAGATAATAAGAGATCAAAGCATTGCCAGACCATTGCAGCATGGCGGGTATATACAGCGCCAAGAACAGTCGATGTCTGTTTCCTTTGGTTGAGATCCATTCTCCCCATCGCGACTTCTTCTGAAGCTTTTCCATTTGCAAAGTTGCAGTAATCTCGGCCATTTCAAAGTGGGCGAGACGAGACTGGGGATCACCGTCGCCGTGATAGCGAATAAAAATATCCAGGGCTTCGTCGCCACGCTCTTTGTAGATCAACCAACGAGGAGACTCCGGAGCGAACAGACTAAGAACTGCCTGTACCAAAGAAAAGACACATTGAAGAAGACTAGGTAATCTCCAACTCCAGGAAGACTCCATGCGAAAGGTGCCGTACGTGGCCCACGCAGCGATCAAAGACCCGAGTGGCCATGAGACCAAGTAGAAGGAGACGAGCTTTCCTCGGTGAGTCGGATAGGCAACTTCAGAGAGCAAAGGAGGTGCGGCGACAGATACGATTCCCAGGCCGAATCCCACCATAAATCGAGAAAACACAAACATCCCGTAATTCTTCGAGGCGGCTTGGATAACGGAGCCGATCACAATGAGAATGGATCCACCGCAAATGGGATAACGTCGTCCAAACTTGTCACAGAGCTGAGAGGATATGAGAATTGAAATCAATACTCCTCCTGTTGGGCCAAAGGTCATGGCACCAAGCCGGGCTCCCTGCGGTTGTCCAAAGAATTTGACCCATTCAGGAAGTGCTTGCATGCCGTTGATCATACTGGCGTCAAAGCCTTGAGCCGTTTGAGTCAGGAGGGCACATAAAAGCAATGCATTAAGCTTGACCAATCGCGAATCCCTCCACCATGGCTTGTCGCGCTTTGGGATGACATCTTTCAAGACGACACCAGTAAAGTCGTAGTTGGGCAATGCGCCCTCTCCTGCGAGATCGTCGTGTTTATCCATTTTCTTGATAAGAGAAACAACACATGGATTAGCATTCTTGAGGGGATACACCTAGCGATATATAGATCATACAAATGGAACTCGATGGTGGATACCCCGAAACATCACGCGGGCTCCGGTCCGAGTAATTGGCGGTAGACGGCGAGAAGCAAGCATTGCATGAGCCTTTCGAGTTGGGCTAATTTTCCCGGCTAATTTAGCCCAAGTTCAAACTAGTCAGTGCTAGGGGCAATTAGAATTTGGCATGGGCTCCCATCCTGTACCCCGCGTTTCCGGGGTTTCTCATCGGCCTCGGGATAGTTGTCGGCCGGGTGATATACCGGATTACCGGGGTCTCTATACGGCGAATTGGGCTCACCTTGACTGCTCATGTCTATAGTTTCAAGTCTCTTTTACTTCCAGGTTCAAAATAAAGGACTGAATTGGTTGTTGCTCTCACCTAGTACCATCGTGTTAAATATGAGACTTGTGCCACATCCTTTCCTTGCGATTATTTACAGGTACACCCCATCAATCTCAAATGTCTGAACTGCACCATCTTCAAGCGACGTCGACACGCTCTTTCCATCGATAGTAATTCCGTTGACAGAAGCATAAAGTCTATCACCAGTACCGTCTGTCACCCAGCTGCGAATTTTGGTTCCATCGACAGGGACTTTGGAGAAACTAGAGAGGTCGAAGCTGAAAGTCGTGTTGTCATCCCAGTTGGCAGCGACGATGACCAAGGTATGGCTGCTTTCATCGATCGCTGAGACGGCATTACTTGAGTTTGTTTCAAGCAACTTCATGCCAGGCCGAATATGGCGAGTAAACTGAGCAAGGTTATAGTATTTTGTCGTCGCGTTTTGAAGGGTCCTGGCAGAAATGTCGGCAGCGATAAGACCCCAGTCAGATCCGTCAAGAACTTGCCATTGTACCCAAGCATCGGGCTTCAACAGTCTTAGATCTGGCATGATGTTTTTAACCATGGTATCTCCCGTGCCATCATTGTCGCCATATTCACTATCCCATACTTTCTGGCCGATGCCTCGGGCGAGTTGTTGAAGCTGATCGCGGGGTCCACTCGAGCCCGAATATCCATGCGTATTCATCCGCCCGACATTTGCCTGTTGTATGGTTTTGCCAATGGTATTCCACGAGTTCACGGCTTCCTGGAATGCATTCTCATCGGAGGCAGCAATCGTTGTCTTATCGAGACCACGCGACTTGATTTGATCGTGGAGAATAGGAATTATTGCTTTCTGGGCATTGGCGTCAATATAGCATCCCTCTTGTGTTCCTGTAGATTTCCACCAGGTAGACGAAGGCTCATTGAACGGTTCGATAGAGTCAAAAGTAATACCCCAGTTGTCCTGAGCATACTTTGCAATTGTAGCGAGGTAAATAGCGTGGTTTTTATACTGCGACGAAGGCAAATTACTGCCACCATTGTCGGCACCACTGGGGTTGTGGTTGTTGAGCTGCCACCACATTGGCGCGTTTGAGAAAAGCTCAAAGATGTTGGCACCTCTGTCTTTTGCCTTTAACATCATAGTTCTCTGTTTGGCATCCACCTTCCAGTTCCAACTAGAAGAGCTGGGGTCTGTGCTCAGTCCATCGAGCCAGTATCCCTCAATCTGCTTCGTGGCTGGTATATTCGCTGATGCCGACATGGTAACAGATCCATTGATGGTGTTCCACGAACAAGCCCCTGCATTGTATCGGACGATGTTCATTCCTAGCCCAGGCAAGGTTGCACCACCGGGCTCCCAATAAGTCGAGTCTAGAGTGAAGACAATGTCGGCCAAGTCATCTCTATCTCCGTACGCCTTTGCCCACCAGGCAAGAGAGGTGCCCCAACCCTCCCACGTACTAGAGTAGGTAGTAGTCGTAATACTGATTTGCTGTTCCGCCTGGGCGACGGGCAAAGCCAATGCCCACACAAAGATGGCCAGTCCAGCAAACTTCGAGAAAACAGCTGGCATGATGATAGATGGCTCCTGTTTGCAAGATACTAGAAGAGTCAAAAATGGTTCAGTGTCCACAATGCCGAAAACTAGATGTACTGATTGAGGCACCTTGTAGGTATTTAAAGTTCAAGGTACACGCAAGTCTGCAGAAGACCGGTCGGGGAGAGGCCCACCCGATGAAAAGTCCGATGACGGATAAATAGAAAAACACAGACTTAAAAATGAGCCACAAACACGCAACCCTATCAAGACATGCATGCAACCCGGGGATTTTGCGGGGCAAATGTGGAGCTTGCATTCGGGGATGTCGGAGCCGGCGATGTTCATGAAGGAGCACAAGACCTATTTTTCCATATGCGACTATCACCTGCCAGCGATTTGGCCTGGCGAGGATCCTTCAATCATAATTTACCCCTACCTTATCCTAGAACTCTCGTTTTAATACTGATCTACAACAAAGGAAACGAGGAGCTCTATATCAACAATGACGTTCATAGGGTTTGGAGTACACCCATTACCCACAAGCCATATTCTCTACAGGACGTTCGAAGATTATATTTTTTCCCAGATCACATAATCTGGGAGACTCTATATTCTTTTCAGGTGTTTCAACTTGAATATAGAACAAAGAACCATGCAATGGTTTGGGTATCTCACCGCCTGTCGAAATACCATGTGCATCTACGGGTACAATACGAGAACCCCACCAACTTGAACCTCCTACCCCCGCACCAACACAAACCTCAAACGGGGCAGCAATCCCTACTACCATCAAAAGCATAAGCCCTATCAGGGTCACACGATTAAGATTCGATTTACTCGTCGCAAAATGGCTTCTCAGATCCTCAATTCGGCATGGAAAGTGATACCGATGTTCGAATCCCGGTCCATCCCCCAGACGGTTGATTTTTATACCAAGATACTTGGATTCGAACTTGCTAGTGTCAAGCCCGAGCACGGTGAATCCGAGAACGGAGAATCCGAGCAATACTTTTGCTCGATTTTCATTGGCAAGAGAGCAGAGGCAAACTTCTATTTTTCGAAAGTCAGTGCTGAAAGTTTCAAATCATCTCATGCGTACATTGCTCTGGGTACATCTCAGCTGGACGACTTCCACGCCTATCTTAAAAACACACCCAGCATCAAATTTGACGAGGAGATCGAAGATACACCATGGGGATTTCGACAATTTACAATCAAGGATATTGATGGCAACCTACTTACCTTCTTCAAATTTCTAGAAGGTGGTAACCCAGGTGAAGAATAGGTGCGGTGATAAAGTTGGCAGAAGATTGAAGACAGGGAGCTTTGAGCTAAGCTCCCATTGAAAGTCATTGTTATTCTGGAGCTCTTTATACTCCTAGCCCCAGTACGGGTCTCATTTTTCAAGGCTTTAAGTATCTTTCCTATTATGGAACAAGGCCAATCCGTCAAATAGTAAACTTAAGCATTCTTATCTATGACCTCGAGATTTTTGATTTGGAAAAGTGTTGCTACAATTCACGTGTAAGCTCGAGTATGCAATGAACGGATTGACTTTAGGAAGAACTTACTGCCTGTTGGACCTGGGCTTCCACTGCTCCCCTCCATCTGAAGATCAATAATTAGATTCAGTGGTTGACCAACAAGGCCGGAGGCATATTGGGTAGTTATCAGAGTCCCATCTAAGTAGAAGTTGACGCTGACATTGCTTCCATCCTCATCACGTAGCTCTGCCAAAACCGTGTGATAGTCTGTTGGACTTGGGTACTTCACGTCTTGAGCTTGAACTTCACTTGAGGAGTTGAAAGTGTTGAAACTAATATCGCCGGACCCCTTCCATTCGGCGACGTCAATCTCCGGGGGCCATGAGTTCACGCCATTCAGCCAGAAAGCAGGCCAAGTACCTGTTTCAACTGGTGCGATGAATTGAGCCGAGAAATCCAATCCACCCCCGGCCTCGACAGTGAATTGTTGTTTCGCGTACACAGTACCAGAGTCGTACGCATAGTCAGATGCACCTGTGTATGTCGCGTTCAGAGTAAGAACACCGGCATCGGCGATAACCGAATTGGAGTCTTTCATGATGGCGGCTCCATTATGAGTATCGCCCCAGGGGTAGTTGTAGTTGAAGTATTGCGTGAGTGATGAGGTTGAGTCAAAACATGAAGTCGGGATAAGAGTACTGTCCCGTTTCGCAAGGCCGTGTCTTTCTCCGGGCAGTCCTGAGACTGTATGTGACAGGACAGCAAGGAGAAAAGCTGAAGAATACATGGTGTTGTCAAGATAAATTCTTGTTTATCTTCTTCCCCTCAGATGTATGGTGCAACTTGAAGGTTCAAGGGTTTGCGATGAATATGTTTCTCCTAAGACTCAACAACGATTACGGATGACTCTACACCCTTATAAACTACTACATATTCTGCCTCGGCATGAAACAACTCGCGATTGAAATTGATCTGCGGCCTCTGGAAGTGATACATCTCTCCTTAAAAAGGAAATACAAGATGCAAATCACCCCTGAGTACTTATTTATTACCCGAGCAATGCTCCACAATGCAGCCGGAGGTTTGATGTTCACAGCCAAGTCATTGAGTAGATTTCCGGGAAATGGTATATTTCTCGGGCAATCGTGTATTATCCCCGCAGTTCTAATATTCTACCATTCACAAAATCATGCAGCCTCTATTGGCGGAGACTGTTATCCCACCGGAGCTCCCCTGGTTGGGGTTACATTGACACCCCGCTATTTCTTTTCGCGCTGTATGATTATTTACCCGCATGCTTGCAGAAGCGGGGGTCTCTTCATTTCATTAACTATTCTAAAGAAAGCTCATATCTCCGAGCGGCATGATGTACTGGTCGAGACAGACTAGTTACCCACCCCGATAATTATGAGGACCTTTGCGTTTCAAGGCATTGCGGCGACAGAGACAAAACAAAACTGAGTGTTGACTCAGATCTGACACTTCTGACACCCCGTTAAACCAGCTTTTGTCGTCATTTTGAAACTGTATAATATAATATGGCTAATGGGGATAATAAACAGTACATTTGATTTCCACAATTATCTCTTCCCTCGGCAATGCTCGCACCTCGACTGTTGTTCTCGCTGGGGCTGTATTGCGATCGGGCCAAACTTTATCCCATTCGGAGTTCATTCCAGTGTAATCGTCCTTCATGTTCGTGAGAAAAATTGTTGCGTCGACCGTATCGTGAATGCTTGCCCGGCCATCCGAGGCCCCCTTGATGATTGCGTCGATGTTGGACAACACGGCTGCGGTCTGCTGTCGGATGTCTAAGGCAATAATGCCATCGGCGGCTGCGGTAGCACCCACAAATGTGCCATCACCGCGCCGAGATGAAGTTCCTGAAACGTAGACATATGAGCCCTTTCCGTCGGCAGACTGCACAGTACGCGCGTGTGGGTAGTTGGCCAGCCCTTGGGCATGGGCGGCAGGGCGGAAGTATGGAATGCTTTGCGACATGAGAAGCTGTGTAGTGTTGAGTCGAACTATGTATACCGCAAATAATTGATGTACAGATAATGAGGAGAGTAATTTGATTTGATTTGAAAAAGAGCGCAATATCCTAATAAAAGTCGAGTGTGTTCTCTCGATCTATTCACTGCTTCACGGTCACGGGGTGCGGATAGATCCGAGCGGCCCGACTCCCGTGGTGACGTCATTGTATCGGCTTGAAGTATACGATACTCGGCTCGTTAACAGAAAAGCCATCACTAACGTACATGAATCGTGCGAAGATTAGTGAAAATATCCCGGCTATGGGCGCCCCCTTCTCTACCAACTCCAGATGACTTCATTCCTCCAAAAGCAGTGCTCAACTCCCGTACTAACCAACAGTTAACCCACACCAATCCAGCATCGATTCGCTCTCCGACTCGGCGCATTCGAGATACATCCTGGGTCAGGAGAACGCTGGAAAGTCCATTTGGATTATCATTTGCCAGTTGAATTGCTTCTTCCTCCGTCTCAAATGAACAAATCGAAACGACAGGTCCGAAAATCTCCTCGCGCATCACCCGACTATCATGAGGAAGATTACCAAGCACGGCCGGAGCTATCCAGTAGCCATGCTTAGGGTCTTCTTCTGGTACCCCACCGGTGAAGAAAGCCGCACCTTCTTCTTGTGCATGTTTGAGATAGGACCTGACCTTGGCATAATGCTCTCGCGAAACGACAGGTCCGATGGTCTGTCCAAGTTGGTAGTTTTCCTTCACGTATTCCACAAATGTAGATAAAAAGCTGTCAAAGATGTTGCTCTGCACATATATTCGCGAACCACACAAACAAATTTGGCCACTATTCTCAAATGCAGCTGATGCGGCAAGAGGAACGGCTTGGGCCAAGTTGACGTCGTCAAAAATCAATGTCGGATTCTTCCCACCAAGCTCTAGTGAGACGTGTTTGCCGATATCAGTGACTGTTTCCCGTCGAATTTGAATACCAGTACTAGTTCCACCGGTAAACGAAATTCCTCGCACACGGGGACACTTGACGAGTGCTGAGCCTGCCCTGGGGCCGTCTCCAAATATGATATTCATTACTCCAGGAGGCAGATTTGCCTGTCGGAGCGCTTCAGCAAGTACTAATCACGAAGTCAGTCCCGCATATCCCCGGCAATTTCTTGGAACGTACAAAATGCAGAAATGCTTGTGACTTCACTAGGTTTAGCTACTCCTGTGCATCCAAACGCGATACAGGGAGCAATCTTCCATGTGAGGAGATATAAAGGCATGTTCCATGGCGAAATAAGTCCAAATACTCCCACGGGCGACCGGTGCTCGTATGTTAGAGTACTTGACTGGCCGTCAATAAAACGGACAGATCCTTCATCATGTAGAATATACGTCGCAAAGTATCTGAGATCTGCATTAGTTTTTGGGTCCTGAACACTGCAACTTCGGATCTAATACTAACCGGAAGTTGGAGATTGCACGTTCTACCTCAACCTTGGCTCTAGCTAGTGATTTCCCTTGGTCAATGCTTTCCCACGTCGCAAAAACCTCTTTTTTGCTGCAAATTACAGACGCAATGCGCAGCAAAATATTCGATCTCTCTTGCCGTGAAACCTGGGACCAGGAAGGAAATGCCTTGGCGGCTGCGTCTACAGCGAGGTCCACGTCGGAAGTGGTACTGCGCGGAATCTGAGCGAGGGGCTTTCCAGATCGAGGATCGAATGAATCTATCCAGCTGCTTGCTTTTGACTGGTCTTGAAACTTGTTGTTAATAAAGTTTTGTAGACGAATTGGCTCTTTTGCAAGACTCGTCAGGTAATCCCTGGCGCTTTCTGGGCTACCGATCTCCCATATCTGTGAAATCAAATCCATATTGACATTAATGAAGTTCCAATAACCAAGTTCTGGAAAAAAGGATATTAGAAAATTGCAGGATGAAGAATTGGGGTGCTCGGTCTGAGTCTACTAGCCAAGTCAATAAATCGCAGATCTTTCTCCGATCGGACCGCTATCCGATTCGACCATTTCCCATTTCCACCACTTTTTCAAGCCGCCACGAAAGCCCTCACTTTATGTAGCAGCAAGAGCCATTTTCGATATTTCTTTTTCGAGTATTTAGAGAACTGTTCAGTCGACTGGTCGAAACCAAGAGGATTCAACTCTCTTTCATCAATGAGCGGATAACAACGACACGAAGTACTAGCCACACTGGAACCTACTGGTACCATGCTAAATTTCGACCAGCCAGTACATTTGCATAGATATCAAATGATTCAAATGATGATGGCGTAGTACCAACAGGTTCCAGCTTGGCTAGTACCCCGTGTCGTTGTTATCCATTTATCGATGGCAACGAAAAAACGTTTTTCAAGGACCCGTCCTAGCAATAGTACGCTAGCTAGTAATTGTGAGAAAAAGTTGAAATGAGGGGAATAAAAAGCTCATTTGTAGCCGAATGATTCATAGTATCTTTGAATATCGGTGTAGAAGTTGAGTGAATTTGAGCGCTTATGCGTGCTGTTCTACGGTACTCCATAAGCGCAGGGTGATCAGTAGTTGTATACAGGGGTATCTTACAGGGGTGATGCAAAAGTTTGAAGTTTCCTATTGGCCACCATTTCTGACCACGTCTAATGGCGGAGGCCAGGCCGGTCAACAAGGGCTTGGATTTTGCAGTGCCACCGTAAAATACCGCTATACGAGTACATATAACTACAACTACTGACCACCCTGCGCTTAACTATGGAGCGCCGTACTGTTCGACTCCAATTTTCAGCGACCCACTTCAATACCGCAATCTGAGTGCATATATTAGCTAAGACTACTACTGCACTCAACCAGGGGATGCATTTAACTTGAATGCCTTCTACTAGTAGAACTTCAGGGATCGCCGTCGGAAAATATTCAAAAAGAAAAGTTTATTAAATACACTCTTGATAGGACTTTTCTTAATTGACCCTAATTGCAAGTTTTTGACACTGTTTTTAATATTCCCTTACGGTCTACTAGTAACCTCCTATATAGCTTTGAAGCTCTGGATACATCGAAATTTGTCCCATTCAAAAATTGCATTCAATCCTCAACCCTTCAAGCCCATGTTGATAGAGTGGCACCCTATTCATTGCTTTGGAACATGCCGTGCAGCCCCAAAAATTCGATCGCGTTTCCGGAAAGCATACGCGCCCGTGTCTCCTGCGAGAACATTTCGCCCACCAGCTTGTCATTTCTCAACATTTCACCTGGAATAGGCATTTCGCCAAGTGGAAAAGGATAATCACTGCCCATGATAATCCTGTCTGGTCCTATCTTATTGCAGATCAACTTCAGGAGGTCCGGATCATGTACTAGACTATCCAGCCAAATATTATGTTGGTGAGACTGAAGATAGCTCTGGGGGGATACACCTTGAGAACTATGCGCGACTAGATCAGGTCGGCAGTCATAGCCATGTTGGATTCGCCCGAGAAGAGGCACGTAAGCACCACCCGCATGTGCAAAACACAGTCGAAGCTTAGGGTGACGCACGAGGACGCCCGATGAGAGGATTGCGTGAATGGCGAGTGCTGTCTCGCTAGGCCTTTTCACCAAAGTTGGTCAGAATTATCCCAAACTAGACTCAAGGGTCACATACATTCCTATCAACCAAGCAGACCAATAGCTACCCCATCGGCTCTTATTCTCCCTTTCCAGTTCATAGCCCAAGGGATGAATGAAGATCGGCATGTCCAATTCCTCACAGGCACTCCAAAAGGGGTCAAATTCAGGAGAGTCCAACGGCTGACCATTAATCTCCGTACCAATCTCCACTCCCTTCAATTCAAGATCAATTTTGACACGTTTTAGCTCAGCCACTGATGCTTCAACATCCTGCAATGGAACAGTTGCGAGTCCAACGAAACGCTTGGGGTATTCGTGGCAGACCGACGCAATGTGGTCATTCAGGTGGCGGGCTAACAATGTAGCCGGTTTGATAGGCTTGTCGTAGGAAAATAGAATAGGCACTGTACTGATCACTTGGATGTTCACGCCTGTAGCATCCATTTCCTCCATGCGAACTATCGGGTCAAAACAATTCGGCTCAACGGTACGGAAGAATTTATCGCCCACGAACATATCGACATTTTGGGAAGATGAAGCGATCTTATTATCCTTTTCAAGTTTTGATTGATCTCGGAGTCGGAGATTAATCCATTCTTCACTTTTCCCATCAGAAGATTGGACTGAAAAGTCGGGCAAAGATGGTGGCATAATATGGGTGTGCATGTCGATTCGGAAAGGGCTATCCCTATCATTTGTACCATTGGATGTGCTCCATTGTGGCTTGGTAGCAGAGCACGAGCAAAAATTCGACACGACCGTCATACTGAAGAAGAGAAATATAGTTGCCGATCTAGTATCCGATCAAGAAACAAACCAGGTCGAGCCGCTGAAACAGCGCGGGTATGATCAATATTAGTAGTAATATAGTTAAAAAGGTCCTTTGATTTGAATTCAGTTTTTCTCGGCAATTTTTATTTTTATGTGTATTATTACTTACAGGCCCTGCGAAGACCCAAGTAGTTTCTTGCATGAGTGCTCTCAGCTGGTATGTTTCCCACTCGGATAGATCCGACTGATCAATCGGAAGGCGTTGCGGGTCCTACTAGTACATCTCCACGCCAAGCTTGAACTTAGGCCGGTGAACGTGACTTGCTTGCCATTCAAAAGATGCGGAGAAATAAACTTCCCTTGTAGGTGACACTTAAAAGACCGCGTCGATCATTTACATCGACAGAATCTTACTACCCTGCTCATTTGACTTCGACTTAATCATGGAATCATCCTCAATCCCCAAAGGCTCTATTCCCGGGCCAATCGCCCTAGCTTCTTGGCTTGAAATAAATTCCAATAATTTGAAGCCTCCCATCAGTAATAAGTGTTTATACTCTGGGAAAGATTTTATTTTGATGGCGGTCGGAGGCCCGAATACAAGGAATGATTATCACAGTGAGTAGTACCGTTTCTGCGGGTGCAACAACAACCCGCGTGGATATTCAGCGTGGATATGACGAACCTAATACCGAATTCTTTCCGGTATATAGTCAACGAGACAGAAGTATGAATATCTCTAATGCATCTTCATTATGGATTTCTATTCTAACTGCAGTCTCTTTTGATAGGAATGGTTCTACCAGATCAAAGGTGATATGCTGCTAAAGATTGTTGATGATGGGAAGTTCCGAGACGTTATAATTCGAGAGGGAGAAACATTCCTGGTCCCTGGTACAAGCTAGCACTTCTCTGTCACTTTTTCCTGAATATTACTGATATATTTTGATTTAGGCAATACGCCTCATTCTCCAAGGCGATATGAGAATACGGTTGGTCTGGTCATGGAACGCGCACGTCCACCAACCTGCGTTGATCGCATTAGATGGTATTGTGAAAATGAAGAGGCACACCAAATCCAACCAACAATCATTCGAGAGGTTTCATTTTACTGTGATAATATTGAAACACAAGTCAAGGCTGTAGTTAGTGATTGGATGAATAATGAAGGAGGCCGGAAGTGTGGGGCTTGTGGAAAAGTTGCACCTCCTCATTGAGCAATATTATGTTCACTTGGTAACTAGTACAGAATATGTTTGATAAGAAAATCAAACGCACTAATCTGCATATTGCGAGAAAAAACTATCGATCGGGCCCATCAACATTGCATCGCTGAAAAGGTCCAACGAGGGGTCCCCGAGCGTAGATGGTTGAGAAATCAAGTCGCCAAGAAGAAGGTCATCATCTATTGCCGACTGCTCTGTCATAGGATAGCTGTCAAATGGCTCAGATTCGGTAAAGGTACTTAGCATGTTGTCGAGAGGTGAAGGTGGTGAAATGGCGTTTGGTACGGGTTTGCCTCTCTTTGGCCGTGATTCGCAAGCCGGTGCGACAGAGTCAGATTGCACTCTCTCATCCGGACAAAAGCATCTCTTCTTTCCTTTTTGATGATGGGGTCCGATATTTTTCTCGGTGTTCATTCGATCGGCAGAATTGCCATTGTATGATACGCCCATGGTTTCACTCGATCTGGATCGTTGGGAAGTCGCGAGCTGGCCATATTGATCTAAAGCCCTGTTGAGAATGTCGTGTTTGCTGAGATCAATTTGTGTGAGCTTCATGTCTTTCTCTATGAGTGACTGGTATTTATTGATCTCGGGCCATTGAATCTTAAAATCCCGTAGCATGTTGAAGCCGGTCTCGACATCCGACCATGCTTTGTTGGTAAAGGTTGGGTTCCGAGCGAGACGCATGCAGTGTAAGAGCACCTTCGTGCTTGCATATATTGCCCGGCTTTGCTGTATCACAAAGTGGCTTGCGGGGACTCTGGCTATGACTTCGGGGGTAACCTTGATGCAATTTGATGCAGCCTCGGCACAGCGCAGAAATGCTTCTGGCTCCGCAATGTTCAGTCGTTCGATAAAGGTTCGGTATAGAAGAACAACGCCAATATAGTATGATGAGACTGCAATTGTTTGCAAAGCGATAGAATCTGCTTGTCGGTCTACAGTTTCTATTCTCGGCAGTACTTGCGTGGTATAGTACTTTTCCAGCTCTGCATCATGTTTTTTCACGTATGATCTCAGCGTGTCTCTCAGTCTTGGGTTTTGAGATGACTGGTATTTTCGGATCTGTCGAACAGATCTATAGATTCGACCCATCGTAACATGAAAGTCTGCCACGACTGAGAACCAAGGGTCTGCTTTTGCCTCCAAGGCCGATGCTTGGTCGTTCTCGCCATCAAATGACTCAGTGTCACTTTCGACATCGTCAATTGCTAGAGGCTTTAGAAGTGCTGTTGAAAGAGATCGATCAAGTATATACAGGCATCGCCATATGTTGCTTCGTGTCGAGAAAGTGTCGGCAGCATCCGATGTCGTATCACCGTCACCGTCACCGTCGTCCTCCACATCCAAGCCTTGATAAAGACGCATTGCGTGGCCGGTAGTTACCCAAGCATCATTCACTCTCCCTGCCTCTGTCAAATATAAGCTCATAATCCCATGTGCGGCAACTGTATTGATTGCAGATGTTGTATTCCGCTGATATGCTCTATCTGAGCTCAGAGATGTCGCATGCAAATAGAGAAGATTGCCCAGTTCTGCCCCTTTATAGATCCTGCATTCTTCTTGCTCAAATATTGGGTGTTCTTTTGGAATGACTGAGGCTGCTGCTGCGAGCAAGGCATATAAGAGGAAAGAAAATTGATTGTCGTCGTTGTGGTTACTCCCACCGACGTCTTGACCACAGAGCCAGCGATTATATTGCGGTCGGAAAGTGTGGCAGTGGATGATTGGAAATATAGGGTATATTGAGTGGTAAAATAGGTCAACCAGGACGTGCGTTAGCGATGCTTCGAGTCGCGTTATGTCGACCGGAATCGACACGGTGCCAATTGGTGCATCTTCCGTATCGTTCGGCTGGACGACATAGTATTCGTAGTCATCTACTTCTGGTTGCACTTGTGAGTTGAGTGCCCCTGTAATTACTTCCGGTATTGAGGAATTTGCTGGTCTTTCAACGGTCGCATCTGTTAAGCACGCTCGCAAGAAGTTGGGCGGATCGGATACGGCACCCTCGTCGGAAGCGGGAACCGACTGATACGCCGCCCTGTGAGGATGAGAGTCTTCGTCGTGGGTCGATGCAAATGGATGTACAATCCCTCCGGTGCTGCTTTGAGCAGTAGATTGTGTTTTCAAATTTCTCTCCATTTGTGCGAGTCTCTTTTCGAGCTTGATCACGTATCTGTTGGCGTCCGCGAACTTGTCAGCATGGTCTTAGACGAGTATGGAATAGATATTTGGAGACCAAATCCATCACAGAGTGAGAACTAACTGTGGATCCACTAGCCTCATGTTATTATACGGCTCAAAAACACATTCCGCCTTGTTGCGAGTACAGCTCTGACACGGATGTTCGCCATCGCATTTGACCTTCTTGCGACGGCACGCCTGACACGCCCGCCAAACTCGCTGGCGCTCATACATCGTGCATGCCGACTGGTCTTACCCTGTAGATGAAAAAAAGGGAGGTTGAAAAGGCAAGAAAGAGCTGGTTCGGAAAATCGGAGAGTATTTCACCCCGCTCGCTGGCGGGACTCACTTCAGCCGACGGGATGGAGCGCTCAGGAGTTTTGTGGGGTAAAACGAACGCCATCTCAAGAGTCAAGACCCACACATACCAGGCGAGTGGAAATGCTATGGCCATGATTCGTTGGACTTTCTTAATTCTTGTAATTTGTAATGAGTAAGCACATTAATATGGATTTTCACACTATTCAGTAAGAACTGGGATCCATGTATAGCTCTCGTTGAAATGTATCTTATTGATCCGGTTGTTGTTTGTAGATATGTCCCTCGGGTGCAGTACTGAGATCGAACTTAAATGCATCATTACATGGTGAAACAACTTAAGTGCTATCTATACTAGTTATCATCTCTGCAGTTCCGCTACAAATTTGGAGAACTGAGCTTCACCCGACTCGGCAGGCCTTTAAAGAAAAGTAGCATCAAAACTGGAGACTCTAGGCCTCGAAAAGGGGTCTTGAATTATTTCACCAGTTTTATGATCTCATGAGCGTCCATTGGCAATGGCCCTTTTAGCCAAGTACATACAAAAAACAATTCATGCAGGCTCTCAGGGGTGGGACTTGAACTCTGAATACCCTACTCCGTACATAGATAAAAATCAATTATGTCAAATCGGAGCTACCAGAATAGATTCCAATCCCCCGTCTATGTCGTTAGTCCAACTTCCAAGTCAATGAGAATGTCTTCCTTGCATATCAAAGCGACCACCGAATCCTAATCCTTTGCAAATCATATGACAGATCTCTGGTAGTATCTACTGTATACCGTCACCGAACTCGTTGCAGCAAGGCATACGGGTCTATCTACATACACAAAGCATATTGCTTTGTGCCAAATACCAGTTGGGAGCAAGAAGGCTTTAAAAATGAAGTATTATCTAGTAGTTGGAAAGAACGTATTTCAGTTTTTTCTTGAGATTTATGGGATATCTCATTGCTAGAAGTTTTCAGTAAGGCCAATGAGGAATTGTACACATCAGTAGTGTAACCCGGCATCGTCTCTAGCATATGATTTTTTTAGTAGTAATATCCAATAAACTACTTCAACCATTCGAAGCTAATAGGATCCCAGACGAGAGTCTTGTGAGCCAATTATGTCTTCTGAGGGGACCCCTGTTATCAAGCCATCTCCGCGCGAGCCGCCCAGGGTTGGTTTCTGGATAACACAACCATGGAAATGTCCAAAGCAGCAGCTCGATGCGGCAATATCACTGATTGCCAGCAGAGATTCTAGGATTTCCTTTCCGTGTGTTTCGAGTGGCGCAGATGGGTTCATTAGCTTGCTGCGACCGAGCCATTGCCTCGTCTCCGACTAACTAGTGAGGACATGCGTTCCATGGCGATCACTCATCGGCATGAACAGTGGAGTGAAATGGCAGATTTATTCATACAGATTCCTCCGGTGCCTGTACCCTCGGGGATTCCATTCAATAAATAAACCAGTTTCATGCGAGAATTTAATAGTTGCGATCATTCTAGGATCCGTGCAGCTGTCAGAGGAAGATCAATCGCTTATCTCGGTTGAGAGTTGCAGATATTGCACTGCCCGTTGTACAGAATGGAATTGATTTCTCTTGTGCTAAACTCGAAGCGGTTACCCTAAATATGGAGGCGTGCGCCCGGACAAAATCATCTGGCAGGTTGCTGATAAGCTCGCGTATCTAGATTGGTTGATCCTCCAACAATGCAGTCCCAAGTGTTCGATCCATCATATCTTGACTTTCGCCGCACCCCCGGCCCCGTTAGGCCCATTGTTCGTTTGCTGTCAATAATTATGACGCTGCTGACGCCCGATTGTTTGGGTCTCAGGTAAATGGCTATGGCTTCTTCGGACTATTGACTGGTTGCTGAACTCCCCTTGCGGAGGTCGAGATAAGCGTTCTCTCTCCGCCAGTAGGCGTTCGCCGCTGCATGAACAGAGTTGGACGTTGGACACAGGGGACTCGCGGACTTTTTGATAATCATCCTCGGCCCTATTTTCATGACTGCTTGTCACACGATCCACAGCCATGTTATAACTCCCCTCTACTCCATCCGACTCGGAGAGAATGAAGAAATCCCCATTTTCAATTTAGGTATTTCCTAATGAACAATGCACCGACCATGGCCCGGCCCCACGAATACACCTCTCTCTGGTGGCCCGAGGAGAGAATTAAGGCCACACTCGATACCAAGTACATCATTAGCCGTCTACGACCCGAGAGTGTTCCTCGGCTTTTTGATCTTCCCCGTTGGGGTGAGGGTCTGACGAGCGAGACCTACATGGAATGGATTATGACCAAAGCTGGCCGTCTCTTCTTGATACTCAACGAGATAGGGATCCCCGATCGTATCTTCGCTCTTGTCGACGAGTCACGCGATGATGATGACCTACCAATGGCCGAACAGAACATCGATCTTCTGTGCCTTTCTCCCTACGGCAACGATCCTACCCTCGATGCAAGCTTTTTCCATACCCAATGGCGCTTTCTGGTCCGCGGGATCTCTGAAGGCGAACACGTTGCCTATACAGCAAATGAAGGTGTTCCGGTGGAGGTAGCACGAGCTGCGACAAGCAGCGGAATACAAGGCAGGGACGAGACAGTCGATAAAGTGGTCCTGTCCGGGACAGTGTGTCGTGTCTTCTTGCGCACCCGGGTCCAAGTTGGTGGCGCACCGCATTTCTTCTCCTCGGACGAAGTACTCGAAGAAATTCGATCTTTGAGGAAACTCGCCCATCAGCATGTCTTCTCGATCTATGCTTCATATTTCGTCGACGATACTGTCTGTGTGCTGTTTACTGGGGCCGAAACAGATCGCACCCTGCAAAGTTTCTTGAGCGATGAACCTCTGACCTTCAAACGCCTACCCAAGGAGGAGCGCCGGCAGACTCTCATCACCTGGCCTCATTGTCTCGTATCTGCATTGTCCTGGCTGCATGTTCGCGGCCATTCCCATACTGCAATTCGGCCTTCCAACATTCTCGTCGACCCAGACTTCAATATCATTCTGGGCCAATTCCAAGCCCTCGATTCTCTTCTTGCGCCGCCACGAGTTAACGGCCTCGAGTCTTATCAATACTCTGCTCCCGAACGCTGGATTCACACTGCCGCTGCACCCGCTCATCCAGTGCAGCAAGCACCGAGCAAAGTGATCCTTCCTTCGGGGGGTCGAACTGGGCGGCGGAAGAAGCCCGTTCGACTTGCCCTGGCACCACTCAACGAAACTGGGAGCCCACCATCATCACCAGACAACCCTCGACCAGACTCTGCCGCATCCAAGGGAACCGTTATTCATCTTGGACTCCCAAGATCCCCATCTCGCTTCTCCTTTGCTTTTTCATCATCTTCCTCCTCGTCTGCTGCATCCTCAAATTACACTTCCACAAACTCCGCTTCGACCGGCTCCCCAAAACAAAGCAGTCCCCTCTGGTCCAAAAGACCCCGAAGCCTCTTCCCAATCCCATCACTAAGATCATCGACCTCCTCATCATCATTATCTTCAACGAGCTCCTCTCTAGTCGCTCCGCCCCCCCTCGACTCCTTCAACTACCCTCCCAACCTGGCACTCAACCCAAACCTCGCAATCATCCGCAGATCTCTTCTCCCTCGCCGCCATCATTCTCGAAATTCTTACCCACCTCTGTAAGAGAAGCTCCGCATCCTTTGCCTCCCACCGCAGTGCCCGCAACCGCTCCGCCGGTCGTGGCGGCGGAATGGCAGACGCCTCATTCCATCTCGCCCGCAATTCAGTCCAGGTACAATCCTGGATTGCCCTGCTAGAAGGTGACGCGCTGAAACGATGCCGACGAGATCGCGGTAGTGACCGCTTCTTCTACGCCGTTCCTCGCATGCTCATTGTACTTCGCGCGATGCTCTCCCCCGAACCGGAGAAGCGGCCGTCCGCAAGCAGAGTGAAGAAGTGTTTTGGGGCGGCGATTAGGGAAATCCCGTCTACACGTGGCCCTGCTGTTCCACTTCATTGTATCTCGGCTCCGAAGCAGGAGAAGAGCGCACCCATCAAGGCATGGCCGAAAGAGGCGGAAGTCATTGTGGAGATGGATAAGAAGAACAACAGAGCGAGCATGGTTAAGAGGCAGGCTTCCGTGCCTATCTTGACGAAGGCGAAAGCCGAGTCGGTTCTTTCCTCGTCGTCGGTTTCCGAGTTTGACTTTGGGTTTTCGGAGGCTGCTAGTGATAGTGAGACCAATCCGGAGGAATTGCAGGATGGATTTGAGGATGAAATTGATCCTTCTATTTTGGATGATTTTGAGCCAATTGAACCGGTCGATCGAGTGTCGCCTCAATTATCATTACCGGATCTTGATGCTAACATTACCGGGATTGAGGCGTTGACCTTTCGTACTTAGCACTGGCGTGTGCGTATGTCCTTGATTGTTCGATTTATATGTACGAGTTCGTTATTCGGGGATGGAACGGAACGTTGAATGGCTCGATGACTTGACATGTTTACATTGTATTCCTAATTATTTCGTTTGTACAGACTTCGGAGGCACTCATTTTAAAGCTATAATATTATGAATCTTGATCACGTTCGGTTACTTTCTAAAAAAGTCATCTATTTGAAGATTAAACAAAGCCCGCCAGCTCTCTTCAAGTTCATACAAGTACTCGGGTATGTGGTTGCAATTTCACGCTGGTCTTATGTGGAAAGACCTCGATTTCCGGAGACTACCTATTATTCGAAGAGTCTGAGATTGAACAATATACTAGTATCATAAAACAATATTAACTATGCTAACCCAATGCAAAATCATAAAGACATTACCTAATTCCAAGACCAGTAACTGACCACCACAGGGCCAAACAAAACATTCAACAACACACCACTAACAATCTAACCAAACCATTCCCTTCCCCTCAATGATAAAATACTTGAATCATCCAAAAACCAAAGCCCGGACCTCAATACTCTCCCTCAACCTCGCACCATCCGGCGTCCTAGGGTCCCAAAACGCAGTATGAGGCACCCACTGCGCAACATCACCACCCTCCAAACCCTTCGAATCCGAGCACTTAAGCAACAACCTCTCATCCTGACTCATCCCAGACCAATACTTCCACTCCTGCTCCGGATTAAACTTCACCCCCATCGTCTCACCCGTCCGATGCGGATACCGGTGTTGAATAGGGACGAGATCATCCTTATCCACAGACTGCGCCGAGGCAAATGCCAACGGTGCAGATTGAACAGGCTCGGCCGTTAGTGGTCGCCAAACGTTCACAATGCGATAGCGGCCTGCGAGAAGTCGCTCTGCCTCGTCTGAGTCGGTGACATGAAGTCTGACTCTATCAGCCGCTGCGCGGGGGGTTTGATCCACATGTGCGCGATTGACGGGTTGGCGGGGGGCGTCTGGCTTTGCGCGGCGGATTGTATGGTCGAATAGGACTATCTTCTCTGCACCGGGGATGGAGGATAGGAGAAGCGATTCGACTTCTGGGTAGTATGTTTCGCGGACGGCGGTGTCTGAGTCGAAGGTTGAGTAGGTTGTTTTTGTGGGGACGGAGGAGAGGGTTTGGAAGGCGTCTTTGTCTAGATTGTAGGATTTTTCGTCGCCGCGGATGTCGTTTATGTTGACTTGTTGCGTTTGTTCGAGGTAGTTGCGTTGTGGTTGGTCCGCTGGGGGTGCTTCGACGTAGTTGAATGGGGCGGAGCCGTCGGGTGGTGATGCGTAGAAGGTTATCTCTGCGGTTGTTGGGCCCCGGGGAATGTAGCTTGGCCCGGTGGTGGTAGTGGTGGTTATTGTTTTGGTGGTGGTGGTGGTGGTGGTGGCCATCTTGTATGACTATATGCCTCGGCTGGAGTATAGTTATACTAGTTGTATACGTGTGGATGTGATGTGATGCAATGCGATGCGAATGCAAGAATACTGGATGATCTGAGATGCAGAGCACACTCTTTATATGCTCATCCGCTGCGAAGAGTCGGAGCCAGAAGTTTAAAAAGTCTCCGGAGACTAGATGAATTAGTGATCATGATGACCATTCGGTGTTACTGGGGGCATTTGTCATCTCGGCGAGAATTGCGGAGAAGCGACCACTCAACGCGCTGCTGATGTGGCGATGACCCCATTTCTAGCCATGATCACATCATTCATGCTGCCCAGCATGCTATACATCCTGCAATGCAATACTACGCTCTACTAATATTTCCATGACGGCGTCAAACCGCTTACCTGGTTGATTAGTAGATGCTGATGACCAACTATAGCGGGTGGCGTCATACCGAGGTTGAAAGTGGAAGAGCCGCGTAGCATACTAACTAGACCGACATCGCATGTAAGGCGATTCGGTCAAAGGGAAAGCCAAGAGAAACGAAAACGAATGGAAGAATCCAAGTTCAGTTGATTATGCAGCTCAAGAAAGAGCGGGAAAAAAAAAGACATGCGAATTGGGATACCTAACGCCAGCCCCCTCGTGCAATTGCATTCCACGGACCCATCCAATTGAAAAGAAGATAAAGATAGAAATATCGAATAAAGACACCAGTTCCCTCCTAACTTACAACCAAACGCTAGATAAGTAGTCAGACGGCCACCGGACTAAGTAACCTTTAGTGATTCCGAGTCCGTTTGCTGCTGCGCTCACGCTCCATCCCGATGGAAGGGAACATCTCGAACCCCGGTTGCTGGCGCGCGGGCTGGAGCTGAATGTTCATACTAGGCGGGAAATCGGGATGCAGGGAGGAGATTTGGCCCGGGTTAGGGGGATGGCCATCGACAGCCTCTGACGGGAGCGGCCCAGTAACAAGTTCGATCAAGGATGCATCGATCCAGCCAGCAGGCTTGCTGCCGTGCAGACGATCGAAGCGCGCAGAGTCGTCGTCCGCCTCTTCATTCAGCAAGGATGTCAATGGCGGCGCATTGCCCGTTGTGCGGACCTGGTGACCAGCGAGGACGTGGTAGGGCAGGCTTGGGCGGGTAGCGGGCTTGTCGGCAAGATCGGCCAAAGCACTGAGAGCGCTGTGCGCCGCTGTTGTGCGGGTCGAGCGTGTGACGTGGAAATTGTGGCTGGCGGTACGAATCATGTCCGATGCAGTGGGAGTGCCATTATCTTCGTGCCCAGTGTTGTCTGGGGTATCCTCCGCGTCAGTGTTGTTGCCGTTGGTCACGGCGCCAGAGCCCTGGTCGGCGCGCTTGGAGGTGGAGAAGAAGTGCATGGTCGCAACATGCGCCTGGTTCGCGTGCGCGCTCAATTCTTTATCTGTGAAGAGCGAATGCATCGAGTATGTAGGCGCAGTTTGTTTCTCAAGGTAGGTCTTGGAGCGCTCGGCCGGGGTCGTGCCGCCCGCGTCCCGCACGGGAGATCCAGCATCCTCTTCGGGCGCCTTGCGCTTCCGCTTGTTCAACTCCGAGACGATACCGTTGCCCAATTCGTCCAGATCCACGCGATGTCGGGTGTGTCGAGTTTTGCGGTTGCTGTGAATGCCACCGGGGCTGGCGGGGTTGGTGATGCTGAATTGGTTGGGGTGTAGCAGTAGGGCGTTCGTGTCGGCAATGTCGAGTTGTTCCTTCTCGCGCATCAGACGAGTTCGCTTGCTCGAGATGCTTTGCATCAAGCGCTCGCGAAGGGTGCCCGATAGCTGGTTGAACTCCTCCTTAGCAAAGTGTACTCGCCAGTCGTATTCCCTCCAGTGTCGATCGAGGCTATTTTGGTGTCGGTTCTATACCACAAAAATGAACATGTTAGCGAACACATTTAAACTTGCCCAGATTGAAGCAGCTCAGTGCGAGACTTACCATGACTTGAGTCAAATCCGAATCCTTCTGCTCCTTGACATTATTCACCTCCTGTACAAACTTCGCATACCAAGTCCCCGACAGACTTGCCATCTCCTTCGCAAACTTTCCCCCGCCGACAGTATCCTCAATCAGTTGCGCAATATCCTCGGATGAGTCCTGCAGCAGGGCAGTCTGGTAAGGGTCGGCATTATTAATGAGGGTCATATCGCATTGGAGAGAGTGAAGCTGCTGGCGGAATTGGGCGTCACGGTTCTGGCTAAATGTAGCGGTCAGATCATGAAGACGCTCTTGCAAAGCCGATCTTCTCTTGTCACGCTTCGAGATCGGACCTGACGCTCCGCCAGTCGGGCTGGTGGAACGCCCTCGTTGTAGTCCGCCATGGTAGGCGGGCCCAGTGCCGGGAGATGGGGGCCCTGGAGAGTAGGCCATGGATTGAGAGGGTATGTAGATTTAGGAGAAGTGATAGACGGGTTGCATAAAGACGCGCCTTTTGGAACGGCTCTGGGAGTATAAACTAGACCAAAAAGAAGCGCGATAGAGGGCTCCGTGCCTGTAATGTGTAGACCGGCCTGTCGTCAGAAAAGCGGACGGTATTGTCTAGTGCCATATGCGGTTTAGGCCCGGCTCTACGTTTCACCGCCCCGAAGTACTGGCGACGTTTGCCACACAAACTACATAGATTTGAGTGAATTGGGCAGAGAAATACTGGAGTGAAAGGGCTTTTTTGGGATCAAGAGGTCAGGAGTGATTCTATTCTAGGATGGGTCAAATTTCCCATATCTGCTGTGGTGACGTGCGTCCCGGCAGCACGGTATATGGCTCGCATGCAGCATGAACTTCAAGCCTGAGCGTCACGGATCACTCGGATCCAACTCTCCAGGCTGGAGCCAATAATGTTCGAAGAATCCTCATTACGGGTCATGGGTTGCCGTTCCGTATACATGTCGAGCAAACAATATGTCGTGGCAGATTTCGACTCTGCAGGGCAAAAATGCCTTAACACAGTGCCTAGCTTTACTATAACAGAATAGTATTTAAGAGCGAGGGGCTTCCTAGCCATACAAAAAGAAAACGAAGATCTCTTGAAGAATTGTTTGTATTGGATTTCAACCCCAGTAAAATTTATATCCATCATCAAAAAAAAATAATAATCATAAAGTCTTGATCGCCAAGGAGAAAAAAAGACCAACATCATGGGTATTCACGTTCGTTTCCATCCGGCCAAAAATAAAATGCAGGACGGCGCACACCACGGCCGAAATAATAAAATAATAAGGTAAAGTCACTGACCAACTCCAGGGACACACGCTAGGGGTCCGTATAGAAGAATCATTTTTAAAAACTGTATGGTTTCAAAGGAGGGTGGGTGAGAAAGGAAAGTATTTTGGGTGGGAAGGTGGTCATTTCCACAGGGTTGATCAGTTGGTTCGTCGGATGACGAACACACCCAGCTCAACCCCTTCGTGGGGCTCGCTGTCCTCGCCATAAGGCCGCTTGCGAATGCCTTCGAAGATCTCGCCGAGGAGCATGGAAGACGAGATGTCCTTGTCAGACATGTGCCCTGAGCCACCGTTGGACATGGCCTTGGTCGCGGCCGGCCGGCGGCCATTCTGCCAATAGAGGCTAAGAACCTCCTTCATGCGGGCCTTCTCTTGGTGGATGAACCACTCCACCCAGAGATTGCGGTCCAGATCGGCATTGGCACGACCAGCATCGGCCACCTGAAACTGTGACGATGAGGAGCTTAGAGACTCGCAGAGTGTGGCAATGTTTGCCTTCATCGTGGCAAAGTCATCCATTTGGGATACTGTGGATAGCTTGCCCAGATAGCGACCGACGTCCGCAGACAAGCCGTTGACCACGACAAATTGTCGCAGGAGAGGGTCGAGAATGGGTCCCAGATATTGGGACTTGAATGTGGAGGCACCTTTCTTGGTGGGGTAGATGAAGAGAAGCGAGCCTCCGTTTGGAGATAGCTCGCTGAGTCGGTCCACAAGGAACGACGGACGGGTAGGGCAAAACAGATCTCTATATTCCTGAGCGGAAGGCGGGGGAGATATCGCTCTAGCACGGAAATATGAACACTGTGAGGGGGGACGATGGGCATCGGAGCATGTGCAAGGTGCCGCTGAAGAGGGCCACGGAAATCGTGGTACGCCCCCACGACTGCGGCGCTGGAGAAAACCGTGGCGTTGAAATAGTCATCGGCAGCGGTCGGAGAGCGAGGGGTGCTTGGAGGAGAATGGGGCAGGTTGGACAGACTGAACTGTTCGGGTACGGCGTGTGTGACATTAATGTAAGGCGAGTGGCCAGGCTGCAGGTGGCTGTGGACAGCCTGGACGATGGAGCAGAAGATGGTATCATTTCTCGGCAGCGAAATCGACTGATCTGAGGTCCTCGGGTATGGAAGAGTCTGTGAGACGATCTTGACGGCCTCACCTCGTGGGTTTGATGTTCCCAAGGAGGACACTGTGAAGAGAGGTTAGAATTCTTGAAATTTACGCCTGTGGCTATGTGTTGCGGAAGTTAACACTCACCAGTCACGTTGATACCCTGGTCTAACCACGACCCCATGTCTTGTTGGCAGTCCATCTCGTCCTGAGGGCCTGGGCTGCCCCCGGAGCTAGAAGAGCCATTCGACAGGCCGTCGGACGGACTACTGAGGGTATCTGATGGGCCAGTTGCGGGGGGAGGTTCCCAGGCCGTGGCTCTCATCCATCATGGCACCGGAGCTTGGCTCCCGTTGGGTATGGGAATCAAAGAGCATCATCTCGGACTTTGGGTTCCAAGCGACGTGGCTATCGTCGTCCGGTGGTGTGAGGGGAAGAACAGAAGGGTAGTCGGACTGGAAGGAGAGAGGCGAAGAGGAGTTCCAGAACGAGGTAGATGAGTTTGAATGCGCCGTCAAGGGTCTCGGCCCGCGAGACACGGTGGTGGACAGACGAAGACGAGAGTCTGCAGACCGGGTTCGCGACTCAACCCGGAGCGGCGAGCCCGGCGAAGAGCTGCGGTGTTCCCAGGAAGGAAAATGTACGGCGACACTGCCCTTGGAGAGGAAACGAGAGACTGGGGAGGGTTTGGTGCGGAGGGATCCTTGCGAGGCTCGTCGACGGAGCTTTGCTGGGCTTGGGCCGGTGCCGTCGGAGGGGGAGGAATCAGGGAGCGAGTGGTTGGAGAGACGACGTTGGGTGTCGAGTTTCAGTGTGGTCGGATGCATAATTAATTCGTCTGGGGAAGTCACTGGCCCACACCGTCCATTGCACTGTTGATTCATCCAGGCCGAGTCGGGTGGGCGAAGAATAGCGGACGGCATGGGATTCGCCGTAGGAGGGCAGAGGAGGTGGGAGGTTTGAGAATTCGACCAGGTGTGTGTGTGAAGGATGACGGAAAGGCAAAGGGGAGACAAGGCGAGAAGAGAATGAGAAGAGGGGAGGTAAGGGGAGAGAAAGTGGAAATGGTCCAGAGTTGGCCAGATGTGTACTGGGTACTTGAAAGAATTATGGAGGCGAAGGGAGGATTGGAAGTATCGGGTACTTCTGCTGGGGCTGCTGCTGGGGGTCTGAGACAATGTTCTAGACCGGTCGTCGAGTCATCGGTGGAGGAGAAGTGGTGGAAGTGGAAGTGAAAGTGAAAGTGAAAGTGCGGTACCTAGGAGGAAGAAGACTTCTCGAAGGTGCTAGTGTAGGGTCAGGTGGGCTTATATGTTACTACCAACTAGCATATTGACTACCGGTCCTTTCCATATAATTTAATATTTAATATCAACGACTCAAAACCCCAGCTTCATTTCTGTTATGTTGACGAGGCCCCGTCGCCGTGCTAAAAATGTGTTGCCGCAAGTCTAGACGCTCCACGGAGCTACGAGTGGCTATGACTGGCCAGAACTGGCCACAACTGGCTGACGGGCCCCACGCGGCTGGGCGATCATTCTCGGTTCTGCATCGAGTTGATGAATCCAGGCCTCTCTGATCCTCTCTGATCCTCCGATGGTCCTCTTCGCTGTCACATACTTGAAATCCGCTGGACCTCTGGATATTAATTCCTGTCGAATCCTAGTGTGGGAGGTTTCGTTACGCTCATATAAAAAAGGGCCTTCCGAGGTTCATCCATCCATGGTGTTGGTGACGGTGGGTGTTGGTGGGTGTTGGGTGGAGGGCTGTCTTGGGTGGATGTACCGGTACTTACCAGTACCTCCGACCATGCGCTGAGAATGTACGGAGAACAAGTACCTGTACATCCCCTCTCATCACCGTTTCCGGACTCCCGCACAATTCTAGGCTTTGGGCTATTGCCACTGAGAGGGAGAGGGGGGGGTCTCGTATGGCCTTGCTCTAACACACGAGACCACACAACTCTCCCCCAACCCTGTTTTGTCCGACAAACACAATTTTACTTGTAGTAGGGCATCACCTGGGCACACAGATCGGGCACCCTCACTCAAGTTTACCGCGATGTAGCCCACCGTAATAAGCTACCTCCTCCAACTACAATAGGATTAGTTACCTTTTTTTGATTTTCTTTGATTTTTTTGGGGTTTTCCACATATTATATTACGAGTACATTTTCCCTGGCAGACCCTTTTTGCCCCTCCCCTCGCTCGGATCATACCGAGTGGTTACTATGTACTGTATGATATGTATGGGGTTGGCACACAGGTGACGCCTCCCCCCTCCAGATCAGATCGGACGCCCGGTCATTCCATGTGGCCGTTGGCCCGTTGTAATTTCCACCGTTGGCCCCAGTCTGGTTCACAGTCCGGTTTATCTCCCATGCCCCCACCCCAGTCTCACTTAAAGTACGTCCTTTGCCACTTTGGTCGTCCCTTGAACGTGTCATGATCTTACCCAGCGAATCGTAATAGACCTACTCTACTTAATACATGTTATGCAGGAGAGTCGGGCGGGGCGGTCACTGGGAAGAGGAGTAGAGGAGTACATAATGTGGAAATTATACCCAGAGCTTTGAAGAGTAATCGGTGGTACGCCAAATGAATTTGCTCCAGAAAAATGTATCATTATAAGATTATAATTCATATATTAAGATTAAAACTAATATTGAAAAACTGGAAATCAGAACGCCAAATGGCGAGACTCAAGCTTTTCGGCCGAAGCCATGACATGATGTTGAGGTATCCAGTTGAGAAAGAAGGGTAAGAAGGGAAGAGGAAGATGTAGAGATAGAGAGCCAGAAGGGTCTGGATGCTGCAGTGCGACCGCACCAGGCCCGGGGAAAAGCCATTCATCCTCCTCCGACGAGTCCGGGCCTGCGAACCCGAGGATCCTGGCGATGAAGATCTCGGTCGCATGAGGGGGTCTTGCAGAAAATATGCATAGATAAATTGGCGCTCCAAGCAACCAATGACATCTCTTGGAAAACTTGAATAAAGGAAAACATATCTTGCCGGACTTATTCGGTTGCTTGAGCCAGATGAGGATGTAATCAAAACACGCCACCTGGAATTACGCAACACTTTCCCGCAAGCTGTTGATTGATTGCCAGTCGTCGACGTTGGCCACGTCTGCAAGGGGTGGACCCTGTGCCCTGTGTGGCATCTGATCAAGAGGACTTGGGTCTGATGTGCTTCTTTCAAATCACTGGCGGATTCCTTATGCGGGATTGGCTGGCCCCTATCGAAGGTTTCGAAGAAGCTTCGAGATGCGGGGTTGGGTCCAAGGCTGGGCGGGAGGGATGGTGTCATCACTTTTGATGTACCAGCGTGATGGGTAGTGTAGGAGGTCGGTATTGGCCAGGAATTTTGGAAAAAAAAAATTCTAGTACCATTCAATCGGCACAGTTTCACGAGGTCATCGAGCGACGACGCGATTGTGTAGGGGCCACACCACCGAGCGGTTGACGAAGCTCCCGGGAGCAATCGTTCCATGAATTCCAGACCATGTGCGACCGGTAGCGCTGCTCCTCACGGCCGAGCCGGACTTGTTTACGGGCAAAGCTGGAGGGCTTGACGGCAATTGTGCACTTGGGCGCGGATCGGTCGCAGATCGGATTAGGGTTTGCCATGGGAATAGTGACAGTGGGGCTGTCAAGTGTGGTTCGTAGCTCGTGGCATTGGCGAACCAGCTGTTGCACGCCATCGGTCAGGCGAGACGCTCGCTCTTCGATATCGGGCCAGAAAGCGTCACCCCAAAAGGCGTCCTGGCGCACGGCGGTTTCGAGGGCGGCAAGCCAGCAGTCAAAGCCAGAGCGGGAACCAGCCAGCTGGGCAGCGACGGTGACAAACCGAATAGTGGGCTCGGAGTGAAGGACGTGAAGGACGATGCAGGCCGGGCAGCGTGCAGTGAGGTACCAGTCATGCTCTTCCGTGAGAATGCAATGCAGCCAAGCGAAGGCGCTGCGTGCCTCGCCGCGAAAAGCTCGTTCGGGTTCGGCTCGCTGCTTGCTAGGCAGCGCACGCGAAGCAATACGCTCTGCTTGGTGGTTGATCAGGAAAAGTGGGACGAGTAGAGTATGGATGATGTCGCGATGCAGGCGGAAGGACTCTTGTTCGGAACAACCCATGTCGCCGTGGTCTGAGCAGAAGCTTGGCCCTTCCATGCCGCAGTCCTGGCGGCGAAGTTGTTCCCTCATAGCCCGGAAGGCTTCATTGCGCTCGAGCTCGAGTTGGTCGCGGTAGGAAATGCAAAAGGGGGAGGAGACGTCGTCCATTATCGTGATGTTTATAGTGGAATTTCGAAGGGGATGGAGATATTGTAGGTCGACCGATTCGTCGATGATTCAATGAGCTATCATTCGGATGATGGTGTTATTTAAAGGTGGCAGGTTAGAGAAGCATCGTGTGGCCGGGTGTACTCGTAGGAAGCGATAAAATAATATAGATCAGTGAAATCACACGAAAAAAGAAGCTCTGTGGGGAATAGGACCGGATGCGGACTTTATTATAGGACCCCCTTTACGGAAACGTCATGGGAACGAAGCAGGATGGGGTGTAGATCGCACAGGGCCTTCTTCGCCTCTTGGGGGGCAGCGTCCAGGGTAGACGCAGTCGATCGCAATGGATGTTCCCCACTGCTGACGAACGCAGCGGCAGAAGGGCACACGATTGGCGGAGTTGGTCGGAATGAGTGGACTGGTGGAGATGGGAGAGCCCGTCTGGAGAGTCTGGACTGCGGTCTTGCGCTTTGCTCTTTCGCAATATGGTTCAGGTTCAGGGCTACTCTATCTTTAGCCCCTATCTGTTGGAAACTCGGTGTGCTGGTCCAACCTTAGGGATTCCAACCGTAAGTGAAGAAGTTCGTTGTTGATCTACGGTTATGGTACTATGGTACTACTACTACTACTACCACTACTAGTATGGTACCTACTGGTAGTACCTTAAAAAAGGTGGTAGTCCCTGGTGGTACCGACTTCGAAGCTGACCTCCTCTCCTTCATATCATGGCCGGAAATGACCGGAGATGGGGGATGGGATGGGAGAAAGAACCGAGTGGTGTATCGCAATCATGTCGCCATTGTCCACCCATTATTCTGATACGACCAACGGATCAGCGCCCAAGTCACCGTGCCCAACACCTAGGCCACGGGCGAAAACACGGCAACGTTATCTGTGCGTGAAGAGGAGGGGGAGATCCCTCCCGTCTGCAGGAAGTGGGTAAATTAGGGGTCTCCATCGTGGCATCGCGATGTGGAAGGGATAGGCAGGGTATTGAGGGGGGGGAGGGGGGAGGGGGAGTGGAGGTTAGGGCTCCGATCGGACAGAGGGGGCCTTCAATAGATTGATTTTGATTGTACGGATATTGGAGTACAGAGTAAATTTTCTTTGACGAAACCTTAGGAATAAGGAGAGATGGAAAGCTTGGAGGATTATTTTTGGATCAGGGGTTTGATAGCTAAGATCAAGGGTCAATAGGGCGCCACAAATCAGAAATTGCCAGTGAACCTATTCAACTTCCAAGGTTCCAAGGATGAAAAGAAAATAGGGGCCGTTGGAGGGAAGAGAAGTGGGACTCGGCAGTCTCCGGGTTGCCATTGCCAGTGCCAGTGCCTGTGCCAGTGCCTATGCCAGTGCGAGATTCGGAGCACACGGGCATTCTTGGCTGAGTCCGGCCGGGTTGTCTTTGTTTGTACGGAGTAAACAGATTCAAATAATTACAGAGTACTCCGTACAGTAGTATACACTATTAGACACAGACACACACCGAAACAAATCTATATATACCTAGTACAGCATGTATGTTTATGCATACTTATACTAGGCTCTACTGGAAGTCTAGGGCTAAACCCAGCAGTCCATCCCGGGCGCTCTGTTTTGCTCCCCACCAGACTTCACTACGAGTACCCCTGCCAATTTCTAATTTGT